GATGATGCAAAGAAAACAGATTCCGCCCTAGAAGTTGGCGTTAGTATACAGTACTCATCAAATGGATGGGGAGAAACATCATGTTAACATACCCAGAAGAATCCTGCATAGTTTTTCCAATTCCAAGCACCAGGATTGAGCATATATGGCGTAATAACACTGCAAACAATGCCCACAATATTATACAAGTTTCTGCCTAAAACCACAGTTTTGATTTGAAGTCTTCTTGTAGACAACTCAGAGACCAAGGAATAGCAAACAGTGCCAACGGTAAGTTGGTATGCCAATGCCCATACCAACATAATAGAGCCAGTAGCAAGCGATGCCTCGGTTTTATGAGCAGCTGGGACGAGACCTAGGAATCCGAGAATAAAAAGCATACTACACAAAACACAAAGACCATAAAGGTAGAGAGATCTTCGACCAATTCCCAAGCTCATGAGGAACCAGGCTCCAAAAACGCCGGCCATGTTAATACCATATTGACCTAGAGCAAAGTCGTAGGATGTCGAGGTAGGTAGCCCGGCCTGTTGCAGAAAATAGGTAGAGTAGCCTGAAAAAGAATTTCCACTAAGGTTTTGCATCGCCCATACCATGCAGACAATCTGTTGAACGTTAACTTCTAATCTTTCCATATCATTTCACGGGGAGCTTCACCTCAGTTCTACGTCTGTCTACACCCCTGAAGCAATCCATATAGCTTGCTCCTTTGGTAATTTTCTCCTCAATTGCCGTAGTATGAACCATCATTGCAATGGTCTCGTCAGCATCAAAGTTTGTTTCCTTGTTTAGACTGGTCAATCGAAGAAGCGATTTCTTAGCTTCTGCAACCCTTCCTTTTCGAACAAGCCACCATGGAGATTCTGGAGCGAGTGCGATACCAACTAGGAGTGGAACTGGCCACATCCATTGGAGACTGTAAGGTATTTTATAAGCCCATTCATCAGTCCGTGGTAACATAGATTTAATAACGCCAATACCAATGACTTGCCCCAATCCCCAACAGAAATTGACATAGGTAGTGAGGTATCCACGAAGTCCAAGAGGACAGACTTCTGATGCATAAGTGATAGTGAGTGTTTGGAAGACTCCCCATGGCTATCCAAATATTAACAAAAGTTTAGACGACGTTGAGTTGGGGCAGACTTACAATACCGCATAGAACTTCAGCAACTTCTAGCGCAATGACGTCTTGAGCAGTGAAAAAAATTGCCGTAAATGCAATAATCAAACTCAAACAAGTCATGACCGTGTATCGGTATCCAAATTTTTCGGAAACCCAACCATTGATAAATAGACCAATAATTTCACCAACATTTGCACCCTGTTCGTCACGTGAGTAAATGAATTCCAACCGTTAGTGAAGTAAATATTGACTTACGTTACTCAAACCTGCTTGCCATTTAGCTGGCACTTGCCATGTGCCATCAGGTAATTGTTCACCGTATTTTTCATTGAATTGAGGAAATGCATCTAAAAGATTAGTATAATGGATCTTGGAGCCTGGAGTCTATTGAGCTTACAAAAGTTGCTCAGTAAACACACATCGTATCCCTCCATAGCAATACATGTCGAGATCAGAAGAGACCATCCGATAGCTTTAGGATACAATCTGATTCCTTGAAGTAGTGACATGTTATGTTCCTTCTCCGTAGACGCTTTCGCATCCTTAATCATCTGTTCCATTGACGTCGAGACTTTGAGATGGTCCTCTTCAGGGAAATGAAGAGGTTTCTCATTGTCTCCAATGTGATCGCGATTGTGAATGTTGCCCATCGTGTTATCGGCATCCGACTGTGCGGCCAGATCGTCAGATGTTGAAGATAGAGCCATCTTCTAAACTTGGGGTCCCCAGGATTCTTATGCTGCCTGTCGTTCCACTTCCAACTTCCAACTGCCCTCGTGCAGGACTAGAGAATGCGGGGTATGATTGTCCAGGTCTTTGGGTGTTTGATCACACTTTGACCTGGGTTGGAGGGGAAAAGAATCCTCGAATTGGAAGTTAAAGTTATGGTTTTCAGATATTTTCAGGGTTAGTCAGTAATAGCGGGGATCGACGGACTGCCCGGCAACATTAAATGCCTGGTGAGTGGCTCGAGTGGTCGAGCGATAGCGTAGGCGTTGTTCGGATAATGTGCATGAATATTGGACATCCAATCATAAAGAATGTTATTCAGGAAGTGAATTTTGAGTGGTGAAAATTGCTTGCAATTGATCATATACGGCAATTCAATAGCACGAGGATCTTCAATGTGATAACGGTAGAGAACGTATTTCCGCCTGAACTTGATGGGAATTGGCAATTTGTACATCGAGGCGTTTTTCGCCATAACATAGTGGTTCTCAATAATGCGTTGGCCACTAATATTTATATTAGCTTATGACTAATTTCAAAACGGCGGTATCCCTCCTAATGTAAAGGCTTCGCACCAATTGACATGTCGAACTATGAACTAGCTTCTGGTACCTTTTTCGAATCTTCCAGAAAAGGAAGTGCTCGCGTGCTATCAGATAGCGGTCTGCTACTAGTACCTAGGCAAGATATGATACCGGTTTAAAAAGACGGAATGGCTATCGGTGAATTAAACTTCCGATGGTGAATTATGTAAAATTGGATTAATTGGATACTCCACTTCGTGAAATGATAACCTATCGTAGGCTCTTGACTCTTGTTTTTCTCTAGAAGTCCGGACTTTTAGCATCAAGTTTTTTGCATTGCGCACTGTGAAGCTGTCTTATGAAAGGAAGTTCGGATTGTAGCGAGGGGCGATGAAGGGGGTGATATTTCCGCTATTCTGGTTTTTGCACGTGATGAGTCTGAAGAGTATGGACTCGGAGATATTTCCTGACAGCTGAATTAATGTGCGAACTGCACAACATTACTTTCAATGCAGTACTCTGTACACTAACTTCAGGGCTGACATTGCATTGCATGTTCAGTCATGAGAACCAGTCGCGAAGCTGATGATAAATTGTTCAAAGTCACATGATCTTAAAGTGGAACATCTGATCTCCACTCTGGCTCGTCTGGCAACTTGTTTCTTGTGCCATTCCACGACTCTTCGGACCGGCTCCATAATAGCAGAACATCTCTACTGCGTACTCTGTAGAACATCTTCAAACTATGACCTTGATATACACACGAAAATGCTATTGGTTAAGAACGTTTGGTTATTCGATTCCACGAATTTTCTAGTTCCAACCAAACAGCTATGCACCAATTTGGCTTATCTACCATCGCCACCGACATCACTGTCACCATGTACGGCTCAGAGATGATCCAAGCTCCCATCCCTGATATTACTCGTGTACATCATTGTTATCGGATAATCGTGTGTTCGAGGATGCCGTAGGGAATCGACGCATACGCCAGTGCCTCAACACGCTCCAATAAACATTCAAGCCGACCCAAATATCGATATAATCTATTCTATATATTCAGTCGTTAGTGATTTGCATGACCACTCTGAAGAAATTACATAGTAATCAAAAAGAATCACATCAAATCATACCAATAATCAATAATGAAGAAAGCTTTCGGTAAGCTTCGATTGAAGATCTCCAAATACAACAACAATGATCCACAACCACCATCATCCAAACCCGTGCCGATAGTACCCCAAGATCCATCATCGATTGGTCTAAAAATGATCCATGATTCTCCCGATGCAATTATTGAGTGCGTCTCTATATTCTTCTTTCATCAATAACTAACATTTCCAGTATCATAGCCATTCACGGTCAAAATGGCCATCCCATCAATTCCTGGACAAACAGAGATAACGGAGTACTTTGGTTACGTGATCTTTTACCTGGAATTTTGGAAACGCATCCAGGTGTGAAGATTCGAGTACTCAGTTATGGATATGCACGTCGAGATCCCGTCGAAGTTATCGGCGCTGGATTGATAAAAAGCATTGGAGAGTTGAGAAATGTGACAAAGAGTGAAGGAAGGAAAATAATTTGGTGTGCGCACAGTTTTGGGGGTCCCTTATTACAGGCTGTATGTACTATCTCGATCCGATGTGTTTCATATTGCTCCCATGTTGTATGTTGAAAAATGACTTGTGCTAAAAAAATCAGGCAATATCCATCGCTCCGCCTTCCAGTGATATCCAAGTCTCAACCCACGCCTTTCTGTTCTTCGGAGTAGCCAAAAACATGGGATTAGAAAATCTGAGCACGGTGCTTGCAATGCCTGAAGCCACATTGAGTAGCGAGATGAAGGAATTGAGGAAAGAGATGATGTGGCTGAAAATGGGAAGTGAGAGATTTGATCCAATGGGTGAGCATTTAGGTTGGAACATTGTGTGGTTTAGAGAGGTGGGAAGCGAGGAAGAGAAGGTTAGGCATTTGGGTGGGGCGGGTGGGAGAGAAGAGGAGAGTGAAGATGGGAAGGGCAGGCTTGAAGTTGTGGTCAAATTAGGGAAGACGCATGGCGCTATGGTTAGGTTTGCTGATGCTGAGGATGAGGATTTCATAGTGGTAGTGGAGAAGATCAGGAATATGGTAGAGGGAATCACAAAAGGTAACAACACAGTCGGGAGCTAATCTATAAAAGCTCCCGAAATCCCGGAAATTCGTTATCTAGAACTCTCAGGTTCGCGCGATGTAACATCAATCATTATCCAATGCACAAGGAGTGTCTGCGGCTCGTTTGACCTCGATTTTTCCGAGAGGCGGGGTAAGGCTCCCCGGAAATATCATGGTTACATTGGCTCAAAAAGAACACTTAGAAGGCCCCAGCCTGCAGTCGGCCAAGGCGCAGTAGTAGCGGTTCAGGTGATATAAATTGATCAGATGAATTCTGTTTCCGACAGATGTCGTGTTGCGGAATCATTCGTAGTTAATCAGTCTAATGTTAAGAGGGCACATTTAACTGTTTTGAGTGCGTTGCACCACTTAATTACAGGCACTAGAGGCAGAAGATTGTTGGAAAGTAGTTTTAGAAGTCATGCAAAAAATCAATTGGTTTATCTTAACCTATGGTATAAGCTTCCATGAGTGTAGAAGACGAAAGTCCGGCTGAAAAAGCTCCTAAGTATCTCGATGATAACGTAAACCCCTGAAAGCAAAGAAAAAACGCGAACGCACAGAACCCGGAAGCTCCGCCCAATCTCGGTGTCTGAAGCTTTCCCCTAATACTAATGAAGAAGCAGATCCAGGACCGGCTTTGCGGGCACCACCCGCCAAATACAAATCCACCCCTGAGCCCAGCAGCAACGTTTCGAACCAGCTATACAGAACAAAGACATCGAAGTGAAGAATAGAACATTCGATCCGTGCAATAAATTAAGGAATAGTATGCCACTGCACGCTTATATTCCGCAGATCAAACAACTACAGCCAGAAATATCGCTTAACCTGGAACCAAATTTGTCCATTTCGGAAAATCGAGAGAAGCTGGAGATTGCTGGTTCAGTTCATAACAATTCCGGAGATCTCATCGATTTTGGTGACAATATCACAGCATTATAACAAGTGCGGTCGTCATCGATGAGAGAAGCCAAGCGCGAAACTCAGGCCCAAAGGCCGTTCAGTATGGCTTGCTTTATGGAGTTCTAGATGAACTCCAGGCAGGAATTGTAGGAGAACTATAGCATCTTATCATCCCGAAAATGTTTTTACGATACATTACCAAGGGTAAAAATCCGTCAGCGAAGTTCAAAGGAATAGAATCCTGAGCTGTCTAAATCAGATGGTTATTCCAGTTCAAATGATGAGCCGCCACCACAAACTCACGCGGTGGGCGGAGTAACCGATCGAAAATTTCTTCAAGTACTGGCCAAAGACTGGGCAGAAATTCAACGCACGATGATCATCCAAGACACAATTTATATGGAAGATACTACAGGTCAAGGTCTCCGCCGCTCGAAAGTAGCTCATCAGATAATGGTTCGATATTACTGTCATCTTGGGGAACCTCGTTCCATGACAAATATTTCACCAATCCCTTCATGAGGAAATCTACAACATCTGTTCCTCACATGAACCCGTTTACTAGAAGAAGCCCACGAAGGTCCTCATCGCCTGGAAGTGAATTATCAGTTGATAATTCGAGACAACAATCACCAGAAAACTTTTCCTTGCAACAGTGTGGCGATTGACCTGCACGTTCATTTGTTGAAAGAACCTCTGCGTTCAATCATCGAGAATGCAGTTCTCCACTTAGAAGAACCGCTCCAGTGGCAAGATCTGTAAGTGACAGTATCAATTGGAGGCAAAACTATGAACCAAACAATAAAAGACCTCAGCCAAACAACTTTAGTAGAGCATATAATCATTGCAGATCCAGAAGGGTCTAGCCACCATCGCCTCAGCCATCATCTCGGCCAACTTTTTATTATTTTCCATCCCACCAATCTACACAAGAGCATATCATTCCATTTAATCAAAGACGCGCCATATTACTCTAATCAATATGATTGCAAATCATACAATCCCTATGGCACATCAGAGACCGAACGTACTAACGAAAATATTGTGCAACAGCACTTATTGGAGTGGACACCAGCAGGCGAAGAGGCTGAGGCAGCAGCAGCGCAGAACACAGACTAGAACAGTCATTCAACTGCAAATCGAGCTTTAAACGATACGTATAATAGAAATTCTGGAGTCAAGAGTCAAAACTGTCACAACTGTCAAACGACCCGGGAAAAAGTCGAGAGAACCGAGATACTTGATGCCACGAAGATAAATGTCAAATGTGGAAGACGACCAATGGCTACAGTAGAGGACAATACTGGAGAATTTTAGGATTTTGAAAAACCTTCATTGTTTTCTGCGGCGTGTAGAGACGAATTTCTTTTGAGTTGCGCAGTGGTTAAATGATATAGGCGCTTCTACAGCTTGAATATACTAATCTCATATGCCAGTTTCGGGCCTTACGATCTTCGAACTTTGAAATTGTTTATAATGGACAGTTATTATTTAGATATGCGATCCTTCAACAGTAATTCTGCATTGAACTTTTCATGACAGGGAGCACTTTCTGAAAGCAGAATCTCATCCTTATCTCACAGTCCCAAGTCTCGGTTGCGCTTTCCTTCCTTGCATCAGTCTTCTCCACTGAGAGATGAACACCTTCAGATTTCGTTTACAACGGGTGATAATAGGCAATGAAACCGACATCTAATATCTGTATTCATAATTCAATTGCAGAAGTATTGTCTACACGCTTTTTCGCTATCATCTCACAGGCCTTTGCAAATTACTAAGCTTTCGAAAAATTCTTACAACAATATTTCTACCCAGCATAACTAAAAATTCAGACCTCTCCAAAGCAACATAGTAATCACGCAATGCCTTTGGAAAGCCTTCCAAATGAGATCCTTGGCGAAATCATACAGAAGCTGATGGAAGAACACTATAGCAATGTGTATTCCAATCCAACACTATCTCTTAACAGGTGCTCAAGACATCTTTACAAAGCTTCTATTTCAAGCTTGTACCGCGATGTTATAATAACAGGCCCAGAGATGTTGGACCTGTTTATGAAAACCATCGCCAATCGCTGGGAACTCGCGATTTTGGTGTATTCTCTAGACCTGACCTATTTCGATGATCATCATGGTCCTTATGATCGAGACACCGAGCAGATATGCTATTTTGTAGAGTCGGTAGATCATACGGATGAACATGTCCCTCCTTGTGTTTTAATCAGAATCATATGGGACATGTGGGGATACATTGACTGTAAACACGGAAACACAGCTTGTTTAGGGCCCAAAAAGCCATGGCATGACTGTTTATTGGAGGCTATGATTTATTCGAAAAAGAAAAGAAGTCTTTCTGGCATTTGACAGCTTTATCTCTAAGATTGCTCCCTAGACTAGAGAAGATCTCCTTTCCTAGTTTTGCTGCTCCACAAGCACGACTAGATTCTCGATCTTTTTGTTATGCTGCTTTGGTCGCTTCGCAACCCGAGACGCGAAATGAACGGTCCAAGGGTCCAATGAGTGCTCTGCACAATCTAACTCTCGAGGGATCTTATGAGAGCGGATTAATACAGATATTCCTTCAGCTCTCGATGCTACAGACACTCACTTTGCGCTTTTTAATTATTCCGAGAAGGCCGAGTAGACCGAACAGATCGAACTACGCAAAATTCATGGAAAACTGGACATTACTACGATTAAATATTACTGCCACCAACATCTCTTCCAGATATCTCATCCCATTCCTAAAAAGTTTAAAAGTCTTGGAAACATTGCATTTCGACGCACATCCATGGCAGCTTTGTGGTGAAGAAGATGAGTACAACATTGATTTTGGGAAGATTATTGAAGGACTGTCTCATCTCAAGCATACTTTGAGAGACTTGAGAGTGATTCTAGGTACTCATGCACAGAGAAGCTCGGATTTTTCGGTCCTACGAGACTTCTCGGCTCTCACGGTATTGGAGATTAGCGTTTGGACTTTTCTGCCGGCTACAAACGTTGCCATGTCACCAATTTTAGGCTCGGCTTTGAACCATGTATTTCCTCATAAACTGCAATTGCTAAAACTCAATTGCAGAGGAACAGCCGTGTGTAGTCTAAAGAGTATGATACAACCCATGAAAAGGCTGGTGGAAGAAATGAAGGACGGCACGACAAGTTTGAAGGAGCTTCATCTCAAATATTTTCCTGGGCACGATTATCACTCCTTCGCAAGCCATACAGAATGTGGACTATACCAACGCCATCCCTTCTTAGCGGAGCTCTCAGCTGAGTGTCAGGAGAATGGGATTACTCTGAAAGTTTTGTGAAGACCAATGTCGCTTCCAATGGTACAAACGGTGGAAGATTAAGAGTGAAATTCAATTGTTACGTTAGGAACGAACCAATCCCGTGAATTTGGAAACTTTTTATAGTTTGAGCTTGCAAATTTCAATATCATGAATTATGTGTAGCCCTGGTGTCTCAATTCTGTGACTTGCTTCTACTCGGTATATATGAAGTCCTTCAAAATTCACAATCCCCTCAAGTCAGTTATCGAAACCTTTTGTTGTCCTGGAACCAACTAAACTGCCGTTCAATCATCAGAGGCTTCCAATAGATCGATTCAAGCAAATAGTATCCCGAATTTCAATAGATATTATATCGCTTTCAAAGGTGCAGAGCTTGTGCCTAGCGTTTCAGTTCCAAGTACAATACCCTACTCATTGAATCTGTCAGTGCTTCTTGAACTACGATTGGAAACTGTTAAGAACAGTTCCTTCGAAAGACTTTTCAAAGCCTTCATGTTTGTCTATTCCTCGTAATGAAAGGAAACTGCGATCTCCTCACTCAGAAACCAAGAGGAGGTCACTCTTTTGCTCCTGCCCTTACTATGATAATGCTTTTTTTTGGTAGGCACGGCTGGACCAAACAAGATTTGCCACCTTGAGTGATTCGATCATTACTACAATGATAGAATAACAAATAAATATACATCCATTGCAAAACCTCCCTTTCGATATCATTTTATTTAGCAAAGATCCCTCATCCCACAACAACATGCCTCCAACAGTTGATGGCTTACCGGAGGAGATCATCATTGGTATTGGAATATGTTTACCTAGAGATTCCCTTGCAAAGCTAGCACAATGCTCCAGTCAATTCTATGCTGCATGCATTGAATTGCTATACTGTCACTGTACTGTGAGGAATCGGAAATCGTTGAAAATACTGATCAATACTATTCTCAAAAAATCTGTGATTGGACCCAGCATCCGTTGGCTCGACCTACGCTGCTTTGACTCCGATGAATTGGGTCGAGTACTCCTCTGGAAGACAACTTCGCTTGATCTGTTTCAAAAGGCTATTTTGGTGCAAAACAAGTCGTCTTCTTGGGATATCATTAACTGGGCAGGCGGTGTTTTGATGGATATATCATGTTGGGCTTTGATAACAGTACTCCTTTGCCTCGTTCCAAAATTAAGGGTGCTGGGACTTCCCTCATTGGGAGAAGAGCGCACTCGGCAGGGAATATATTATAAGGGAGGTCATTACGAAGTCTCTACATTTAGTAACTTCATTGCTCGACTCGCAAGAGACCAGCGAACTGAATCTCCAGACAGCGCTCCTCTGAGGGTGCTTGCAAATTTAGAAAGCATAACAATTTCACCCGATTTTCACCATGAAAGAACAGCATTGGATTGCATCATGCCACTTATAAATTTAAGATCTGTGAAAAGATTCAAGGTTGTCTCGATGTGTCATCACTCCTGGATGAACAGCCGTAGGGTAAAATGCATAGAACCGATACCCAACATTGAGAGTTTGAGCTTCATTTTATGCTGTTTCAGCGATGACATTGCCACTTTCCTTGGGCGTTTCACGGGCATTCAAAGATTCTATTTGAGTGGAGGTACCGACATCGTGGATCCTTTCGATGAATTACATCCATATGTTGACGATATTTTGAAAGGATTAACATCTTCGAAACACTCATTAAAATACGTCGACATCAGCAATGTTTGTCGTTTACCAGATGACCAGCCCCTCTCATTCTCTCAATTCAAACGACTGCAGGTTGCAAAGCTTTCGCCATCTCCTTCAATATGGTCGAGTGTAAGCACAATTGAGGATGAGTTTCGGTTGATCAATTCCTTGCCGCCCGGATTGAGGATTCTTGTATGCAAACCGTTTTATGATCAATACGATTTTGTTAGCTTGGAACAATTCTATGAGCTCGTCGCCAAAAAGGAAATATATGTTCCCAAAATGCGACAGATTGAATTGATTTGGGACGATGCTAATTTCACATATGATTGTAAAGATTGTAAGAAACATTGCGAAATGAGCGAGAAAGCCCCTTTCTTTCCGAACCTTATTGCAGAGTGCAAAGCAAAGAATATTTGTATTTTCTCTGGTCACCCCTCAAGGAAACCTAGCCGCACCCCAGAGCCGGAAGACTTAGAAAACACTCAAGGACTTCTGGGGAATTTGTCATAGCTTTCTTTTTGTCGTTCCAAACTTCCGCAGTCACTCTAGAAACTTGCAGAGTAAGGCTAGGCCATGAAGCCTTCACACATGTAACCGATTTCCCTACTACGTGCACGTCCCTGCTATATGCACGATCTCGATCACCCTTTTTGAATAACTTTAAAAATTAATAACAATTCCAATTTATAAGATAAAGAGCTAGCAATTTAATTGATAAATGATAAGATACAATACTATCTAAAAACATAATAAAATCTTCAGATTTTGAATTTCGATGGAACTCGTAGTGCTCGCCCTCTACTAGATCGCAATATGACCTCCTCCTCCTTCCCCTTCGAATTATTAGCCTCTACAGCATCAGAAAGCTCTATAGTCTTTGTCGATGTTAGATCTATAGTAGAAGAAGCTTTGGGGAACTTTTTATCTCTTTTGATTGGAGATTTTGTTGATTTTAGAGTCTTTTTAACCTCCTCTTTCGCATCACGTGCAATCTGACGATCAACCTCCCTCTGCAATACCCTCTCTTTCGTCTCAATCTCCTTCCGTTCCTTCTCAGCTTTCTTTTCAGCTTTATCTGAAGCTTAGCTTCCTTCTCTTGCTCCTCTTTAAGTGCTTTATCTTCTTGATACGCTCTAGCTTTAATAATAGCAGAAGGTGACCATAAAAACGCACCATTCCCCTCCTCTCCAATGAGATTTAAACGCTTTGAACGAGCTCTTTTCCTTTTTTCAAGCTTTAGAGCCTCTTCTAAACCTTTAGATCTATGCCCCTGTATAGAAGCTTCAGCTCCTAATGTAGTTGCAGCCTTAAAAAGCTTTAAAGTGATCTCATGGGTGGGAGCGCGACGAAATTCTAATTTCATTCTACGCATCGCTTTTGACGTATACGGTGTAGCAAGAGCATCCCTGCGAGTTTTAAATGATGTAGGTGGCGTAAGAGGAGCTTCCGGAGCAATACAGTCGATCGTAAGACTCCTATTCATAGGATATATGCCCGTTTTTTCGAAGGATCGTAAGATATTATGCCTCGTACAAGTGAGCTCCCAAGCCTTTTTAAATATGCCCCAAAACATGCGCTTTGTCATACCAACAATCCCCCCGCTATTGTGCATCAAATCATTCAATAATGTACTGTAATTCGTCGAAAGGGCACCGAAGGTTCCAACGTCGAGAGGCTGTAGTCGATGTGTAGAATGAGGGGGGAGAATTAAGACAATAATCTTTAATTCATCGCATTTTGAAAGGAATTCCATATTGACATGACTAGAATGACCATCGACAATAAGTAGACGATATCTTCCACCTGCTTTTCGACGTGTAGCAGGGTCGAATACGTTTATAAGCCAATATAGGCCAAAAGCATTCGACGACCACCCATTGCTTGAGGCTCCAAAATAGGCTTTATCCTTCTCCCCTACATCCTGAACCCATGTATCTTGTAGATCCCCTGAGTCTCCTTTATAAATAAGAGCGGGAGGGAGAGCTGTCCCATCAGCGCATATAGCTGCCAATAGGGTGATAAACTCTCTTGATCCATCTTGCCTAGCTTTTGTCACTCTGCCTCTATTATAGGCGCTAGCACTCATTATCCTCTTCATAGTCCTCCCCATACCGATCATAAAGCCCTTCTCGTCCCAATTGTATATATCTCTCGGCCGTATATCGTATTTTATGGTCACTTTTATCAACTAAATTAAAAAAAGAGGGGCATTAGCAAGAGCGTTTTAGGTAATAAAGATCAACAACAATAGAAAATAGCTCAAACCAGATCATAAAAGTAATCAAATATAGCAACATTATCGGCTTTCACACGCAAATTATCAATGCAACGGAGATACCGACTTTTAAGACGTGTTGAATGCCTCTTGACAAAATTGCTAGTCCAGTTCTTTCCCACCTCTCTGCCTAGGATCTCTTCTGCAAGGTTTCTGACTATGCGGCTTGTAGGAGGGATAGATCTCTGTGTCAGCTTGTTGATTTGATCAACTAAAACCTCCTCCTGATCGCTAGAAAGCGCTTGTTTCGTATCGGAGAGGAACTGTTTTCTCGAGGTGGTTTTACCTCTATGCCGCCGGGAGAGCGTGGATCGATCAATTTTAAAGAAATTAGCTGTCTGGGTGTATTTAGGAGCTTGAACCCCTTTCAAATGATCTAATGCAAGCTCTATACGAGCCTCTAAAGGCATATCATCGATGTTTGAAGCCATAATGTTGATATTTTCAAAGTCGTGCACGTAGTAGGGACGTGCACATAGTGGGGAAATCGGTTATGTATTATTGAGGTTTTCTGGCTTTAAGAGGGAGGCGTCAATTATTATCTGGGCTGTACCTCTGACTAAGTCGTGGAGATAGAACCCTTCTATAACAATCAACTCATCACATTAACCTTATTTGCTCCGATTGGTGTGGCCGTGTATGTGATTTGTGTGATTCGAAATTCACATGCTTTGAAATGTATTAATGTGCTTGACCCAGAATCCAGGTGGGGTAATTATCCGTACTTACAGGGGCTCTTCCGAGGAGACACCACTAAGAATATGTACGCTAAACTTTAAATCGTCATCACCTCATACCTATCACCACATCACCACCAAACCCACCAAACCAAATCGAATGAAGATCATTGTCGTCGTTAATAGAGCTTTGCATACATGGACAACAATGTTTGGTCGAAGATTATGTAATTCTGCATGTGATTCCGACGCTTATGGTGGGGTTTAGCCTTGGAATGGAGTTAGGTGACGAAACGGAGACATGGGACGAACGAGGGGATACGTATAAAGAGAGCAGAGGTGCCCACCTTAAGGGTTTCCTACCTTCTCGATCGAAAAACTGTTTACTTCGAAGAAAATACAGATAACATCACATACAAATATCCAAAATGCCTCGACTTCCAACTCGTAAATTGGGCAGATATGGCCCTGAAGTAGTCGCCCAAGGCTTCGGAACCATGGGCTTAAGTGCTTTCTAGTGAGTTCCACGGACCCTTCTTCATACAGTGGCTTCACGCAGTATAGTGTCTTCAGTTTGATGAACCTATCTAACTCTCCATCAGTGGCAGCACCGAATCCGATGAAGAACGCTTCAAGGTTCTCGATCGCGCTTACGAACTTGGACAGACCAACTGGGACACCGCAGACATGTATGCCGACTCCGAAGATCTACTTGGAAAATGGTTCAAACGCACAGGAAAGCGGGATCAGATATTCTTAGCCTCCAAGTTTGCCTTCAAAACAAATGAAGATGGAACTCGTACTTGTGATTCCAGTCCGGAATACGTTAAGGCTTCGTGTGCGAAGAGTTTACAAAGACTCGGTGTTCAAACTATCGATCTATACTACTGCCATAGGGTAGATAGAAAGACTCCCATCGAAAAGACAGTAGAGGCTATGGCTGAGTTTGAAGAGGTAAGCCGCACCCACCAAAATACGTGTTGTATCCGTGCTGATAATTGTGCCAATAGAGAGGGAAAGATCAGATATCTAGGGCTCTCTGAAGTCAGTCCAAAGACCATTCGCCGTGCAGAGAAAGTACACCATATCGATGCCGTGCAAGTTGAATATTCTCCATTTTCTTTGGATAGTGAACAGAACGAAGTCTTGAAGACTTGTCGCCAGCTTGGCATTGCCATCGTTGCCTATTCACCTCTTGGCCGGTATGACCTTAATCAAAGCAGTCCTCATAATTACATTTAAAATGCTAACCTAACCTATCACTAGTGGTTTTCTTACAGGCCAAATTAAATCCAGAGCTGACTTTGAGCCTAACGATTTCCGTCTCAGCGCCCCTCGTTTCTCCCAAGAGAACTTCCCAAAGAACCTCGTGCTCGTGAAGGAGCTGGCCAAGATCGCATCTGAGAAAGGTGTTACACCAGGACAACTCTCATTAGCATGGTTAGCTGCCCAAGGCGATGACATTATTTCGATTCCGGGTACAAAGAAAATCAAGTATTTGGAAGAAAATATGGAGGCTTTGCATGTTCAACTTAGCAGACAAGAGGAGAGAGAGATTAGGACAGCTATTGAGAAGGTCCAGATTGGTGGTGCGAGATATCCAGAATCCATGAATGGCTTCTCGTTCGGTGATACCCCTGAGTTGCGATAGTCTGATACTTAGTACCAGCAGTCGTCTTTCAGTCACTTTAGATTGAAATTACTAGATTTCCTCAATTTCTTGGCATCAGAATTTTACGTGACTGCTGGGTTCAATAGAATAGTGATGTTCAAGTTGATTGCATATCAGGTATCATTTCATTGTAAGTACGAAAACACTCTCCCAAAGATAGGTCCTATAATATCCATAATCATATAAATCAGAGCTTTTACCATGACTGTTGGCTACATGATTCGAACAACGTTCTAAAATGACGCACATGCCATCAAATGTTCGCCCCAAATGCACAATCATACTAGTATGGTCGAAGATTATCTGCCCTCTTTCTTGACCATGGAATCTGGAAAGACGTGGCTCCCAACGCGTTCGTGTCCATGACGGGAGAGCCCTGATGAATTGTCGTCTGATGCGTGGCATCATTTGTGTGGAGGTATTTGTGGGTAATCTCGAGCTCTTGCATGAGTCGCACGTCTGAAAATCCTTAGCAGGAAACGGCACGACCAGACCAATCTAAAATTCTGGGAAACGGTTCCAGCCTCATCTTATACTTTATTAGGTGAGTCATGTCGCTCGTGTGTTGGGAGTTGCAGTAGCTTTGTGGTGTTTTGCTTTGGTTTTTGTGGGTCGAGAGGGGTTGGTGGGGTTCATTCAGTCTGTTAGATTTTCAAAGGGGGGTGGGAATAGTGAGTGAAAGGTGAGGCTTACTGTCGAACAGAAGATCAAATGAGACTGAAGGGAAATAATGGGGACAGACTGGAAGGGTCGTCTATGAAAACTGATGATGTTCAGAAGTTGATATCACGTGGGTTCATCAGGCGTCCAATCACGTTGTCTTTCAGATTTACAATCAGTCTGACTATTAGCGTAACGTGCACAAAGCTTCAATTCCATCATAATGCACGAGATTCTCAGAAGCATGAAATAAGATTATTCGAGTTTTATGCATTGACTTGCGACATTTATACAGTGGATCGCTCAGTTCCTATCATCGTCTCTCGTCCATGGTAACCTGTCTAGACGCCAACCATAACATCTCCATAATATTTCCGTCAAAAAATTAGAACCTCAATGTGTTTGCCAATTTTCATTATATCAATATCCAGGATTTTGCTGATTCCAAACTCCAAAGAGTGAATTGAACATCGCCGCTCTACCCATCTACCCGATCCTTTTAATAACTCCTTAATTTCTACCCGCTAATCTGACTTGCATCAAGACAGCTGAATCTCTCCCTTCAACACCATGTGTGCGCGTATAAGTATCGTATGTTGCGAAAGTTGTTCTCCGGGTTTCCACAAGTGTGAACAAGTGAAAGGCAAAAGAACTTCATATATCCAAGTATTTGAGTCACGAGTACCTCAATAGAACTCGCGACCCTCGGCCTCAACGTCAGTGAAATCACCCAATGGGCTTTGCTGTGGCGACGTTCGGGCCTTGCTGCATGGCAGCTTCATCTTGACGAGCTTGGCTTTCAGCCAATTGAATGGCATTGAATTGTGCCATCTCCTCGTCTCGAAGGTTTCTAAGGCGTTGCGGAGCAGCCGCAAACGCTTTTCTCGATACTGGATTCCCAAGGTTCGGGTACCAGTTTCAAGACCTCCATCACTTTCCGGTATCCAGCCTCATCCAAGCGGACCATGTGGGCAAGCTTGGCGTACCGGCTGCAAGCTTGCAGCTGCTTGATGGGGACGGCGTAGATGTGATGTACACGCATGTACGACCGTCTCTGCATGCTACCCCGCGAGAGATACAACAAGGTTTTGCCGCGCTGATTCAAACTCAGCATGGTGCTGCGACTCTTGGTTCTGCTCGTGCTTCTGCACTGCGTCAAGCTTGTCACCCTTCTGCTGGGGTGTTCGTATTGGAATCCAAGATAATGGCATCGTCTCTTGAAAATACCATTGTTTTGAAGGGTCTGGTCCAAGTGTACGCAGCTTGTTGACGTACATGTCCAGAGTTAGACCACCGAGAGTTGTCATCTGATTGGATCAGCTGTTAGTAAAATACTTATTAAAACATTTGGGCATGGTGCTTTAGAAGTTCTGCAAATGCAGATAGAACAATGGAAGGATAGGAGCACATGGCGTAGTCTATCTGATTTTTACAGACGAGAATTGGAACGAGGGGTCAAGATGAGAAAGAGAATTAGTGAAGACTTACAAGTGCAACGTCAAGTATGACGTCACCAACAATGTTGGAACCACGACGTTGGTTAATCCTCAGGGATCATTACCGGGTGATTACGGCCATCCTTTTCTTTCACCTTGTCGTTACACTCATGGTTCTGGACACATAAAATTGGTTCATGTCCTTCTTGGTAGTTTGACAGCCATACAATGCACCCAGGCATTAGATGCTCGGCATGCAGAGGGTACGTCTTAGGTACCATGGCTGGCTTTCGTTGGATGGCAATGTCGTCGTTTTCAGGAGTGGCAATGCCACTGCTGTCAGACTTGCCTGCTGGTGTTGATCGTGGTAATGGAGAACCTTTGGCTCTCCATTGTGGTTTCCCTAGAACTTGGGAATGTGTCAAGCCCTGACCTCGTTTATCACTGACCTGGGCAGTCGACGGATACTGGCTAGAGTTTGGCGTTTTAGTACCTCCATACGAATGCGATGCAACTGGTGTGGTCACATGCAAAGGACTGTTGTATTGGGGTATTGCTTGTTGTCTAGCAGTACCTGATACAGATGTTCGGAAAACCATTATTAAATGGCCCACACCCTTGTGGCGCGCTATGAACCTGCGGCACGGGATTGCTGTAATTTGTATACTCTTGCGCAGCTGGATTAAGTATACGGCCTGGATTGTGGCTGCTCACTTTTGGCATAGGAGCAAACGGATTCAGAGGGCTACTCGCTCCCACCAATGCGTTGTGTTGGGGAGTTTTCGTGCCTTGGTAGTTTCGCACATTATTCGGATGAATGCCGTTATATTGTTGCAAGCGGAAAGGCAAAGGTGCATGGTCATATCCATATTGTAGAGAAGCCGGCGTATCTATGTTGTGAGAATAGTTACCAAAAAGGTCACAATTTCGATATGGGCTGTGGACAGGGGTGAGCATTTGATCAGCTCTCGGAGATGGAAGAACAGCCGCGCCTTGGATGTTTTGCGTGTTGTCGTCCGTGATCCCATTCTGAGGCTGTGGATTTGGAGGGTATGGGATCGTCGGTAGTGAGTTGTCCACATAAGTCTCCGCCCAATGACTGGGAGGTTTGTTCTCCTGGTCAGCCATCTTGATCAGTTCGAGAATCTAAGTGGTTGGCAAGAGATCGAGATTTGGTTTGATCAAGAAATATGATGTCAATGAAGGTTTGAAGTAACAAAAAAGCTTCAAGATCTTCACAGTTCTTACATTGATGGAAACTGCCAAGAAGATGATTTGAAAGTGGTTGTTGGCAAGTCGGAGAAGTCGATGACTTTAAAGATGAGAAAATGCTTAGTGTCCTCGAAAGGACCCTGCTGTAGTGAATGAACATCGTCAAATCGCTACAGTGGGTAGCTGCCGTACAAACGAGATTGAGTGAATATTTATTGTTGTCGCTTTTGTGGTGAATTAGCGAACCCTTCACTTTTGATTTACCTATAGATTTTTGGTTCTTAGAAAAGACTGAGGAAGTCTGACTTTTAGACAAGGAGCTTAGGCTATTGGTCAAAGAGGTCGTTGTTTGCTATATATAAGGACTATAAATATAAGTGTGCCTCCTGCTACTTCTTTATCGGCAAGAAGGCTTGTTGGCTTGCTTAGATCTTTCAAGCAATCTTTCAACCAAATCAGGGTGTGTCCATGGTTCCTAGAAGTTTGTCTTTCAATAGATACATTCACTCGATCTACTTTACAATCTACAGTTTCACTGCAGCTCATGAAATTGCTTATGCATCTTAGACTATCTTCGTCTATTACCCCAGCCAAATTCCGTGGAGTCATTTCGCAAAAAGAAGCCCTAGTCTATTAGAGGTGATGTCATACATTTAAGTGAATGAAAATGTCAGAATTTCATACTTAGATTGGCTAAGCGAGAGATCCACTTGTAAAAGATCAATAGCCGAGAAAGATTTTTTCAATACACAGATCTTTCCCCACCACAAACCGCTACTGGAAACTTTAGCGAACGATGACAAGTGAATTCCCGCAAAGAATGTTATGCTTACCGTAAAGAGACTACCAATGCTCCTACTTTGCAGGTAAACTGGAATTGAAGGAATTTATATAGTTTTCAACAGTGGATTGCTTGAAAGTCATCTGCCAATTCAAGCTGAGCAGCTGGTCATCATCCAGCAAACCTTTGAAATACACACACACGATTGAGACTACTGATATATACAGCTGGACCATTTGGCACGTACGATACGGATTGTATAAATTTCAGTATTCTGAACTTTGACGCTTTGTTTTCCTGATTTTTGGTGAGATGTTTCACTGAAACATCGGAATGTCTGCAGATTTTGATATGTCTGCCCGATCGCGTCAGTGGCCTGGAATTATTTGAGACAGAGAATTTACATAGAAGCAAGCGGCTTAGAGAATCGGGTTTATACGAATTAAATGCAGTCGTTTTCACAATTGTTCCCCCTAGATTCTTTTCGCTGTACAAGGTTCAGCCTCGAGCTTGAACGAATGGGCCTCGTTCTAAAAACGGCAGCGATGACATGAGCGCGCTACCAAAGATATCGAGAGATATCCATTCCTTCGAAATTTGACTGATAATATAGCTGTGTGCTCTACAGACTATGCAGCCTTGTTTAGCCTGACTCTGAGTATTGAAAGTGAAAGAAGCCCTCAATGGTGACCTTGAGTTTATCTCAGCTCAATCATCTACTAAATCATTTATAATCGAGAAGCTTTACACCTTCTGATGTTTTCAAACTCACTTTTAAGCTTTACTGGAAGCATGTGAATGTTTTCCTATGTAAATTCCACGATAATTCTCAGTTTACAGCTATATAAAGTGAGAATCAGGGATGCGAAGACTCATACCTGTACGCAGTGCATCCTACAAACCTCCAGCTCTCTCTTGAGAGTCTGCAGAGCTAAGATTGAGTCGCAGATGGAATTGGAAGAATTGGAAAAAGAGAGATTCAGAGATATAGCAAAGGATTATATTATGATTTTATAACAATAATACCTATAAAAAGTTGAATACCAGTTCTAAATACAGATACAAAGATTATAGAAGCTCTGGTTAGATTCAACATCTATTATCGATTATTATTTCAAAATATAGAAATATAATATATAATAGATCTCTTCTTTTAGAAAAGTCTTTTCGATATAAAGCTTACTACTATTCTACTTATATTACAACCCTTTTTTATACCCTTTAACTTTCAACCATTCAAATACTACAACAATACAATACAAAGAATACCATCGCCTTCAAATTAATACTATACTCTGAGCATCGATATAGTACAACGTTTTTCTTTTAATTTTCGAATTTTCGAATTTTCCAAATTGATTTGTATATAGGTAATAAACTTAGGATTCAGCCTTGCCCCATTATTTTCAATAGTTTCGACTATACACATCTAATAAGAGCTGGAGGATATCAAGCTTATAAAGATATACAAGGGGTTAGTTTAAAAGAGATAAAGATAGAGAAGAATGGTATCTTCTTTTACTACCTTATTAGCAAAAGGATTCTTTACTATATTAAAAACAATTCAAAAGGGGATAACTCTTGTCTTTTATAGAAAAAGAAAGATAGCAAATTGGATTTAGGATTTTAAAAAGAGAAATTGGATATTAGAATGCTTTAATTAGATTAAAGGTAAAAGAAAAATAAGGAAAGAAGTATCTCAAAGGATAAAGACTATTTAATCTCTATTTACACTTCGAATAGAGATCGAGTATAGCACTCCAGTATTCGTTTTTATTCCCCCAAATTGAATATATCTACTATAGATATCCACTAGCAGTTATTAGGTTCTTAAAGTCTAGCCATCCTAAATAGTCTTGGACTGAGAAAAGGACGTTAATTAAATCAATCAATCAATCAATCAAAGTGAGAATCAGGTTTGACTACTGTGCAGCAAGCATTCACGTATATCTCAACACAGCCAAGTGCGCCTTGGTAAAATAGATTCTTGTATCGCCTGACATTGGTATATAAAAGCATTTCAAAAAGTACTAGATTAATAAAGGCTCAGTCAAGAACTAGAAAATGTTTCTCCCAGACCAAACACTGATCTTTGACGGCTGATGATGCTTATCCACAAGCATGAACCCCACCCCCTTCTCCCATCCCCCATGGCGAGGTTTGCCCTTGTATTATCTTCATCTTCTGAGGAACAATTCTAGGTACAGCTGCTACTACATTCATTAGAGACTTTGATTGCTAAGCTCGGGTCTCACATCCAGTCTTCAAGTCGCGATTTGCTCCGAATACGTTCTCCGTACCTAAGCAAAATGAATGGCAGAGGAGCAAACGATAAAGCAATAAAAGCCAGAACAGAGTTTCCCCAACCCAAACCTAGGGATCGATATAGCGGTGGTCCAGCCAGCGGTAAAATGGTGGACATTATATTGCGAGACATAGTCATTGCGGACATGGCCGAACCACGAAAAATTCCTGATATATCGACCAAATACACTGTAGTAGGGACTACTGTAGTGTAGGTCGCAAAGCCACATAGAGCAGTTCCAAATACGGGAACTATGTAGTGTACGTGAAAATAAGCCGTCCATCCGTATGTGATTAAGCCTATTGGGGCAATCACGAATCCCAGGGTCATCGGAGGAAGGCGCCATTCTGGTTTGATCTCGCCGCCATGGAGGACTTTCATTTTTTTTGTATACCAATCTAGCACCGCAGAACAAAGAATTGCGCCTAATGCCATACCTATGGCCAGCCCAAGAAATGCGAGTCCCGCTTCACCCTCTGAGAACCCATAATTTGTCTGAAACACTTCTGTGATTGTCGATGCTAACAGATATACATACGAAGAGAGTAAACACATGGAGAAAATCAACAATGCAAAGATAGGAGCGACCAATATCTTGATTGGTCTCACGAGTGCGTTCACGATTGAACTTATCTTCGAGCCCTGCTCATCATATCGAGAATGAATTGATGGGTCGTTGAACTCCTTGCGCATCTTTGCTGCTTTGCGCCTAAGAATTGTTGCATCGTAGCTCTCACGGTAGATCAGAAAGAACAGAATGCTTAATGTTCCAGAAGTGATACCAGCTAGACCAAAGGTCCATCTCCAACCCTCTGTCTGAGCTATATAACCCCCGAATATAGGTCCAATCGCAGGACCTATCAGAGGCATCAGGGAAAGTAAAGACTGAGCACCTCCTCTCTCTTCGACATTAAACATATCTCCCACAATAGTTGGATTGAGAGCTGTCGTGGCCGTACTGACTCCACCGAGACATCGAAAAACAATAACCATAGCAACATTCTTGCTTTGGGTTTCCGCTATTATACAGAGGAGAAACAAGAGGTTTGCCAAGTTATAGACTGGTCTGCGTCCGTACATCTCACTCAGAGGGCCCATAAATAGACAGCCAACAGCAGCTCCTAGGTTCCATATTGTTAGGATCAGAGTAGCGTTAAGTACACTGGCAGAACGAAATTCTTCCAGGATTTGTGGTATGGCAGGAGCGCAAATAAGCACAGTGAGATTTCTAGATTAACTTGTTAGTAAAACTAATGATTGAATGAAGTTTCAGGTGGAGCAATTTACGTTGTCATAGAAAGTGCACTTATTATAAGCATTAGACTCCATTTATAAGCTTTCGACCAATTTCTTGGGTTTGAAGCATCGTGGGGTCCTTCATAGTCGACAGTAGCTTCGACGATGCTAGAAAGTAGTGTGGTTTCAGGGGCAGACACTTCTGGTACGATTGCAGTGGTAGTACCAACCCTTGCGTCATTCAGATGTTCGGCCTTCTCATTTTCTTCCTTCATGATGCAGAGCTGAGCCAAACGAAATTGGTCTTTCAAATTGTTAGATAGGAGCAGAATGCGATCTTATCTGCAATTATTCATTGGTGACAAGACTCAAGTGCCGGCTGCCACCATGTAGCCCCACATCGTTCTGTATGTCTGCGGCACAAAGAAGAGTGAGCAAGGGGGTAAGCACCAATCATCAAGTTAGTCTTCACCAGGAAGAATAAAAATTACTGTATTCAGAGCCTTGCACATAATGTCCTTGTCTTTGGACAAATTTAAGATTGCCGAATTCTTATAGTTCATTTTCTCTATCACGAATCTACCTGAGAAGAGGAGGGCCCATACTTCTCAACATCCAACGAATTTCTAGACTATGGTTCGTTCAAAAGTTCGCTATTATTTTACACAATATGATTCCGCTGCTCTACAACTTTATCAACCCAAATGACGTCTTCTCCAGCACTTTTTCCATGATGAATCTTTGGTACATCACCCATGGCATATGTCTCGATCTCGGCGAAATCAGCAGATTCTGGCACTAGAGCTTTTCGGGAAGCTGAAGATGGATCTTCGGCTTTGAGCTGGGAGTTGTCATTCCCTTGGCTTATTTTGTAATGTTCAGATGATGAATGAAGACTAGAAATACTTCGAAGACTGTCAATCATTGAACGAAATGCAGGTAGCCCAGCCAAGGAGTTCAGAGAGGGCAAGCAACATGCCACAAGTGCAAGACCCGACTCTAACATCGACCAGAATAGAGAACGCGTTGTCAGTACTACATTTACATATACGTATTAGTTGTCCCGATTCCCGAAAAAAAGTTAGGTTTCTTGGGAACCCACAATCATTATCTGCGTTAGGATCCTTAATCTTGCCCGATGCAACTGCAACGCTCTATGTTAGTGTGACTATTTTACAGAGGTTTGCATAACCAAGCATTTAAGATATTGGATCATAGACTTACTGCCAGTGATGTTGACGAACAAAGCCAGCCGAACAATGGATGCGACGAGAGCTCTGTTGCGGTCGTCAATTAATCATGCTTTCCTAGGAAGAAATCGAAACATATTTCGAGGAATGGCTCACATAGACCCTAGCCCAAAGACTGCTAAGACCGCAACCTTTCTACCGGTTGACATTTGCAGTCTCAGGACCTAAACCGCCAGCACGTTAATATGTGATCTTCTTAAATTTGCAGGAAGGTTGGAGAGCCGTACCATTGGAATAGGAAGACCCAGTATCATGACATCCGTCAAAAAGTCGGAAATAGCAAGCGCAAGATCGCTCTGAATGTCACTTGGGCAGTTGTGGTGAAGTGTATTGATTGTGGTCCATCTAGTAGCAAACTTATTGCCGCAAGATAGAAGGAACCAAAAAAAGAATGCCAAGCACCATAATACAACAACCATCAGAACACAAGCAGATACTATTGAGAAATGGGATCGATGTCCAGTCAAAAATATTCTTCTGAAGAAAAATATGAAACTAAGCTTGGTAAAGCCCATGGACAAAATTTGCATGAGGAAGAAAGCCCATTCTAGCTTGTTCACCGTTAGTATTTTTTATGTTTTAAAAAAAAGGTCAGGACATCGATTTCAAACCTTTTCCACAGTTGTAAAGCTAAAGCTTTGTTCGTCATTAGGGTGTTCAAGATCTGTGGGTGGCGGAGTAGGGTATGCGAGAACTTTCTTTTCAACACCTGAATCTTGGTTAACACCGACGATGAGATACTTGATGTCAAAACATACCAATGATTAAAACTAATGAACAACCAATCACCATTAACTAAAGTTTTGCATTGATAAGTACCACTTTTGGGGACGGCAAACAGTAGTGAGAGGAGTTGAATGAGGGACGAACTAACAAGAGCCGGAATAGTCAACCAGTCGTCTAAGCCCAACCTAGTCTTTTGCAGATATCGCGTCAAGATTCGCAAAAACACGAATACAATACACAAGACTAGAAATGTAGCACCCGCTGCAAGTACATAGCCCGGATCTTGGTCATGAGCCATAGCCAACCAAATGCACAAGTTTTGGTATGATAAAAATTGTGGAAGAAGTTGGAAAGTATTTTTCTAGTACAAAATTCGCGGATATAGCATACAAGATGTCCCATCTGAGCCCCTATTGAAGGCATAATAAGCTTACGCTATAGCCCTGGAATACTCGAGTGTTTTTGGAACGATCATTAGACAATTTCTACAGGATTTTCGATATAAATTTTGCTGACCATCCTGCAAAAGAGTATGGTAGTAATATCGATAAAGCTGGACATGAATTTGAGTTATGATGCAAATACATACCAGGGCTGGAGATATCATTCCATCCGGGCATTGGTCAGCCCGTTCAATCCCACAGGGGTCAAATGCGGCGTAAATTGTCGCTTAATATGAACGAATCAACACAGTCCAATAAGGTTACTATCTATGATTTTGATAAGTATCTCGCAAATAAAGATGGAAGGTAGTAATACTTTTGCCTCGGATGGAAAGTTATATGAGAGCATGTGCAAGAAGTTAACAGTGTGTTCCATAAAGATGATTGTCGTACGATTTCTCTACATTGTGCAACAGTGATATCTCCAGTATTGCAAATGGATTGGCCAGCTGTGTGTGCTGTCTCTTGATAGATAAGACAGGCACATGAATTTTGATACTAAGGGTAGGTCCTGAGTGACAATAACCTTGATAAATTGGCTTCTTTTTGGCGTGCATAGAACCAATCTATTGCGGGGGCGGCACGGGCCAAAAAATACATGACCTCGATGACCTAGGGCTGACCGGAAAACAAAGCCTATGAACCCGTTGCACTAATAGATACGAACAGATGCACCTCAGGAATACTTTTCTCTTAGCTGTGAGAAATGTCCACCTCTTTTTTTTTATTGCCCTTCGATTCTTTCTTTTGATTGAATCTTAACAATAGATCATGTCAGATTACATATTAAGGAGACTCCAAACGAGGGAGCAGCTCGACGCGGTAGTTGAAGTTATCTTCAAAGCTCAATATTCTCCATACATGCCATCAAGCTCTATCTTTTTCCCCGTAGCCGGCTACTCACCAGAAGAACGATCTGCAGGGGTTGCTGCATCCAAAGAACGATTGTGGAAAGAGCATCTGGCCGCGAATCCTGCGACCAATCACTGGATAATTGTCGAAGAAAAAGAAAGCTTGAAAATTGTCGGTGGCTGCTTATGGAAATGGCATGATGGAAATCAATTTCCAGATGGTATTCCGACGCCTAGTGTATACTGGTGGCCAGAGGGAGAGGCGAGGGAGTTTTGCGAAGAGATGATAAGGCAGTCCATGACGCCAAGGAGCTTATGGATGCATGATAGGAATGCTGGTGAGTTGCCATACCACCTTATAATCTTGAGGTTTACTCTTAACAGCCTGTTATCTAGGACTATACATGATGGTCGTACACCCAGATCACAGGTCTCGTGGTGTTGGTGGACTGATGATGGAATGGGCCAATACTAGAATCGACGAAATGGGGATAGAAGGTTTCATTGAAGCTAATGAGCTCGGTAGGCATTTGTACGAGAAGTGGGGATATCGAGTTGTGATGAAACTTGATCTGTTCATTCCTTCTCACAAGTCGGATTTGTGGAACAAGCTTGCTCATGACCTCAAAATGCCTCCATGGTATGCAAGTAAGTTTGAATAATCGGCTTATCGATCCAAACCCCCCCCCCCTTCGTCAAGGGAGTTCTATTTTAAATGTCAAACTTCTAACAACCCTACCTTTCAGTGTGGAGACCGCTTAATGGCATCGTGCAGGAAGGTGAACGGACTCGCCCATGGCAGCCCTTGTGAGATGTTCGCAGAAGTTTTCATATTGGATGCTTGGGAAGAACTATCGGTCCTGCAGCCGTTTTAGAGCCAATTAATCATGTAAAGCGACTTCAGTATATATCAATCAATGCTGAATGTGGCTGAATAAACTTTCATCTTCACTGGTTTCTACAGCTTGCCTTACGATACTTCCCTTGAATACACCGCAAATAATTTCCTGCCCTGTCTGGATGATGGAAAAGTTGTGTGGAAAAATGATTGTTTGGGACATCAGTCTCATGATTCTAGAGTCTCACGACATCAAACGATACAGAGTATCATTGCTAGGGTTCTTAATATTGGCAATACTGTTGACTTGGCATAGGCCATATGAATCTCATAAGATCAACTCAAAACAAATCTTAAACGACCAAATACCTGATCCCTCAGCAGCAAACCCCCAAATTCCACTGTCAGTATCCATGTATCTACTCGAGAAAACACTTCAGATGCATCAGCTGTGGAAAGAAATTTGATGTAAATTCCTCATGACAATTCTTACCTTCCTCGTGAAGAACTATCAAGGACGTTCCTCATTCAATATCTCCAAGCACTTCATCTGTGATGATGCCAATGTCCAATGTATTTTCTCGTATCATATCTTTGGTTTTGATCGCCAAACAGGAGGTACCAATGACAAACATAACAGCAACGAACTGAAGAGTTTGTGAAAGGCGCATGGTGTAGTGTTGGAATTGCTAGATCAGTGTGGTCGTTAGGAACGTAAGCATTTTCAACTATGAGGTATCCTACATAAATAAAAAAAGCTTACTTTGATTTTATGGATGGTATATTCAAAGAATGCCAGTTCGTTGATACCAACGGCTCAAGAATTTGTTTCGAAGAGATCTGACCTGGAGCTTGTTATAGGACATCTCGATTTACCTTATGACTACGTAAATACTATTAGAGGAACATAGCCTCGGCACCCCCTCTGCGCAGAGATAAGCTTTCTTTGGTACTTCATGCATAACTTATCCGAGAAGGAAGGTTGCATTGCATGTAAAGGCTGTGTATTAATGTAGCATTGCCCACGTACATGTTCATGGTCAGTTGGCCAAATATTGAACAGCCAACTGCAGCTTTTCACCACACCTTTGAGAGATGCAGCGGGATCACTCAAGCTACATTGGTTCTGTTCTTATCTTTCTCCACTACTAGTAATGTATCTTGCTTGAAGAATGTGAGCGCCATAGGAGCTAACCAGTCAGGGTTTTTGATAGACGAATTGCTGTCCGAAAAATGAGAGACATTGAAGCGCCGGGTACGATCAACCCATCCAGGAGTTCAGATTTCGATAAAATTTAGAATATTGAAATGGTTTAGTAATTGAAGAGTCCCAATATCCTAGTCCGGAGGATTGAACAGCCGGTATCTAAAATTGAAATCAATGGTTCCAACCAACATCATTACCTGAGAAACTGCTGCAGGTTTTCGAATACCTCCTTCCCGAGATTTCCGAGAAATATGCTCGCACCGTTAGATTGAGGATACTTGATTCTTTTGAAGTTGAACGATGAAGTCAAAAGCTCTGGACATCTTTTTACTGGGAAGTGAATCCTACTGTCATTATATCAATCATGGAAGATATGGAGTCAAAAATTCATCTATTGCAAGCCAATCAGGATACAGAAGAATACACATCTAGTTTTCCGATGGGAAAACAAGTAGTCAGTACGATTAAACCACAAATTGGTTCCATGACAAAGTTTCTGGTGTTCATCATCTTGTGTCTACTATCAAGCAATACGTTCCTTCTACTTCATCATACAAAGCTCGAGGACACAAAATCTTCAGAAAATGATTTAGCTGTCTCTAGATACGGTACGTTCTTGATTCATAATGCAACTAGCTGAATGCTATCACGCGAAAAGCATACATTACAAAATTTATCATTGTGTTCATACTGATCAAATGAAAGCACGTCTTAAATACGACACTCCTCTCATATACTACAATCACACAGATTATATGAGCAAAAATGACACCCTCCAAGATGAGATGTGGGACGGTATTGATACAAGCCCACTGGTCGTGGCGCTTGACGACGAATGGGCAACTGAGCACCAACTGCCGCTTTCAGTATTTCGGTTTCCATGGGATCCTGAAGCAAAAGGAATCTACTTTTTGAAAGCTTTCCATGGGTTACATTGCCTGGTAAGAAATTTTTGATGCAGTCCAGAGGATTGGAAAAACCACTTGTCATATCGCTCTGCTTATCAAAAATTCTTTCAGAAAGTACTGCGCAGAGCTTTCATCGATTATGAGCGGGGTGGTGAGGTTGGAAGTTCTGCCGGTCATGTCCACCACTGTCTGGACGCACTCCGTCAAGATATGATGTGCAATGCCGATGATACCCCAATGCCTAGTGAGTGATGTGAAGTTCCTATCTACCAGCTTTAGATGTTATCGCAGGGGATCGTTATACAAGTGCTATCGGAAAATCTCGACTAATAAATCATCTTCAGTGAACGATTTCCCGAACAAAATTGGGCACGAACAAGTTCGCATGTGTAGAAACTTTAATCAACTGATCCAATGGACAAAAGAACCAGAGAGACACGCCTGCTACCACCGATGGAGTGACTATAAAGGGAGAGTGAAAAACAGAATGGAGATGTTTGCGTTTTGTGAAGAAGAATCGCAGTACTACGGAAAGATGCAACAATACTTTGAAAAGTTTGGCCATAAACCCCCCTTTGGGGATGGCGACAAGGACTTTCCTACTTGGAACTCGCGTTGATTCAACACTGTAGTGAACCATTTGGGAGAGAAATATCGCTGTCAAGTCTATCAGCAAGCTTCAAATCCAGTATTTGTTCTATAAATGACAATCCAAATTATCTTACATAATCTAAAGTGTATCTCAGCCCCTATCTCACAATTGCGAAATTAACAATGCATACATGCACCTTCGATGTTAGAATAAGCCACTCAACATGCTCGTGTATATCACTTGATAAAACTCACGTAAAGGACCTTTCGCAATTAATTCTATATCATGCCACTGACGCAATCAGAAGGGGTGCTGTAGGTTGATCAAAATTGCACCAGAAACTTGCATTTAGGTGCGAACGCTGCAATCTGTCAGGGTCACGTCCTCTGAATAAATGGATATCCCGGTAGGTGAGTGGAGTAGTCAAATAATGAATCACCTCGTCTTCTATCATATATCACAAGTGGGTGCTCACAGCGTCTTTCCAAATATATCGTACATTTAAAACAACAAGCAGAAATCCATGTACTCCTTTCAATGCTTATCAAACTCCACGGTTAAACCCACTCAAAATATGCGCCATCCATAAAAACCAATAAATGCCAGAGAAACCCCCATCAAAAATCAACCGGAAAACCCTTTGCCGACCACAACATCTTGAAAGCTCCAAATACTGTCCCAAGACCTAAACACCCTACGCAGAATCTCAAAGCAACAGTTTTCCATCCACGATCAACAAACGGTCTGAAAGAATGATATCGAGCCGTCAATGGAGTAGGCGGCTGAATCGGATATGGAGTAAGCAGTTGCTGACTATTAACCGTCCCATAACCAGCCACTCGTGGAACATTGAGGAGACTTTTCGATTTAGGTATCTCATTCAATGTGAACCTGACATTTCTTCGTTGCCCTAACGGGAGAAGAGGAGATGTTGGGGCAGTTTTAGCATGAGGGCAATCCGGTGCGGCAACTGGGAAGGGAGTAGTGGGGTATTTTTTCTTCTCCATATCTATTTCATTTGAAGGGTGAATGATACCTGTGCTGTTTTTGATACTAGAGATGGAATTTGCCTATTTTGAGAAGCAAGTGCTTCGAGACGTGCTCGCGCAGTCTTGTAAAGCGAAGCCGTTTCTTCGTAGGGCTCGTTTCGAAGACCCATCTCCGCCATTAGGCTGTTATAACTTGTGGCTGAGAGTCGAAGTTTATAAGCTCGATGATTTCGGAAGCCAAATGTGGAAAGGCTGTTGGAAGGCACCTTGAAAATGTGAGCAAGATCAATGTAGGATTGTTTCTTGAGCGCTCCCTTTTGCAGTCGAAGAAGCCATGAAGGTGTACTTTCGACGCAGCTATCCTGATCTATCGGACTGATAGGTAATGATTGCTGAAATTCAGAGTTGTGTGGACATTTCGACAGATAATTTTCCAAATTCAAATCATTGAAAGTGGTAATCTGCGACTTGTCAGTACGTATTTATTAGGGGGGTTGATTGTAACGTACGGTAGCAACGTAGCAAATTAGATCGCCGCGTATACTTGAGCCTTTTCTTTGTCTAATTTTGAGAACGACAACAGGATTATTGTATCCATCTTCTCCAAGCCCCTTTCCACAACAATTTCTTTTGCAGCATTTAATGCTCTTGTCGAAACCCTCTGAAGGTAACCAGACAATGCAACCAACACATAGATCACCCGATCGTACTTTTGGTCGAGGAAAATTCTCGTCACTTGGTGGAGGTGTAAGTGGTTTTGTAGACTTCAACTCACGCGGGTTCGCGATGGCCATTGCAAGTGATAAGAAAAGAACGACGACGAAGAAATGTTGCGACTCACTGGTGTCCAGCTACCCTTTGAAATGTGGGCGGGATTGTAAAGAATGATATAGTTCTATGATTTGATGACAACCCGTTATTAGTAGGTGCACATTAAATCAAACAGTTTGTGAAAGTATAAGCACTTTTTATTTATTCAATGCCTGTTAATGGTTGGCAAACTCAACCAAGACACAAAGAATCCTTCCCCTCAGCCCCGTGTTTAGAGGAGCGATGAAATGTTTTACCCCGAGATCGCATGGACAGACCGAACCAACACAACATTTTTTGATCACGCACACAAAACAATTTTGCGGAAGTGAATCGATTGGTCGAATGACGCTTGTTAGGTTGGAGGGAGTCGGCGCTTAGGGTCATCTCAGGTCATAGCAACGGCGAGGCTGAGATGTGGTCATAAACTTCTGACTGTAGAAATAAGGCTGGGTGCGAGGTCAGTAGACCTCAATGGCCAAAGAATGACGAGAGGCAAAATATTTTGATCAATGATGAGCTATTATTTTCAACCCAAAACATGTCCGGAACAAACTTCCTAGCTCTCTCAAATGGTGCCTGTCAATTCCGCTATTTTATGCGACAAATTTCCTCCACAGGCCGGCCTTGAGGCTATCAAAAAGACATGAAACATCAGTAATATGGACGAAAGAAAGACTTGATAGTACGTTTGGTCAGTACTATCAACAGTCTAGTAAGCTCGATTTTCAATTTCCATGTTAAAAGTAATAGAGTTCCCATTGCCGATCAGAAAATTAAATAAATCGATTGTTCAGTTCCAATTGTAAGTTATAATTAGTATTATTCATTTCGATACGTTCGAGCAAAAGCTCCTCACTGAAACTTTTCAGCCATGTATTAAATAAATATTCGTTTGAATGATATTTCTCTATTGATTCAAAAAATGGGCGCCAGCGGCAAGTAAGTCGAAGTATCAAGCGAATATCTTTTTCGAAATAAACCTACTCCAATTCCTTCGATGACAGAGCTAATTCACTGACAACTTTCAGTATTGATCAAAACCATAACTCCGGTCAGGAATATCGCCGTGATATTATTCACCCACGATTTACCTGATACGACTACCACGTAGACTGCCAAAATTCCGAGTCTTGGATTTTTTTTCCTAAAAAAAGGCGGTAGAGTAAACCATTGAGATGTTGTGATTGGACTAGTATGAGTATATGTAGTAAAGTTATCTCAGACTGAAGATTTTGACAAAGAGAGAGAGAGGGTATTGGCATGGTGATATTATCAATTCTTAGGCTCAGAAATCCGATCGCTTGATGGACGCTATTAGAGCTCAATGTGGCTCTTGTGTCCCAAGTAAGTTCAGCTGTATTGGACCAAGTACTGTCGTCGGGCTGGGAGTGGATGCTGATGAGATATAAAGCTAGAACTATTCTCTGGAAGACTGGCGTCTCTAAGCTGGTGCAGAATAGGATTCTTTAAGTGCGATATGGACGCTTGTCAATATCGACAGAAGGCAATGACCCTGTATCAAGAGTGGTTGTAGTTCCTGTGGCACCTCCTCTTCCCCTTTTTAGATCGTCAGTTGAAACGAACTTTTCTTTCTCCAATCCAATTCTCTTCATAATCTTGCTATAAGATTCTTCTGTGAATCTCAAACCATAAGCATGCTTAGTACCGGGATGATTCTTAGGCCTGGAGGTGACGAAAGAGTCGATCTTAAGAGTATATCTGTGCTGAAGTTGGAGGGTAACAACGCTTTGTGAAATTTATCCCACTGGGCTCGACGGCATATTTTAATCCATAACTATTTTCTTCGGGTCGCCAGCGACATTTCGGGCCAAAGGCGCAAGGGGTGAGTGCTCCAGGATCTCCGCAATTGTTCAAGAATTCCTGAAAGGTACTGAAGTCACTCCCAAGCGCTGAAATCTTTGATCCAAGTTAGTCTACAGAAGTTCAATGAGATATGAAGAAGCCTTGAGCTCACAATGACAAAGGTAACATAAGTTATGTTATACCTCTCTCTTACACCCAAAACCAGAGCTGGATGTCCATAGGACCCCTTCTCTAACTTGCAATGTTTTGCGGTATCATCACACCCATTTAGACACTGCGTGCAGAAATTCGGGCAGCGATTCTCCGCACAAATTCCTTCACAGTGTTTTCGGCTTTCTTTCTGCGCAATTTTACAGTGCAGCCTGCACCAAGCTCATATTTCTTTAGGGCAATCTCTGGTACCATGACAACGTCAAATCTGGCGAGTAGACGTTGGACAAGGTCGGCTCTCTTTAAGGAAGATAGATGTGTCGGGAAGAGAAATAAATAAGTGGTCAGTGAGATAGGCAGTTGGAGGTCCAATTTGGTGGAGATATCCGGATTGATTGCTATTATATCGTCGTGGAGACTCAGAGTACTCATAACCTATTTATCATGGCTGCATCTTATACTCCACCAAACTTTGAAACAAAAGATAATCACCGAGAATCTTCACGATACCTAATCGCGAATATCCATCATTGGATGAGACAGACGGTTCTGATTGTTTCCCGTAGTTCTAATCATCCATTTTCTGTAGCTGTCGCATTCATGAAACGAGAGGCCATTGCCTTGATAACCGTTTCAACACCTCGAAATAACCTTTCTATACAATGTATTATATTGATCATATTAATTGTTGCGCTCATCGTCCGTGGATAAGTGCATCTTCTCGAACATCCTAGAGATATTTGAAATACCTTTCATAGATTTAACACAAAATCTCTTCCCAAAACAATGCACTTTGTCCAGACTGCGACTTCGGAGTCCGAAGTCACTCGACTTAGATGCATCAACTTTCTTCAATTGAGTACCGGAAACCTCCATTCGTTTCTTTCTTCTTCTGTATACTCATTGTCACTCCATATTCGCCCTAAATCAAGAATCAGCCCTAAATTCTTAGTGTTGGTATCAACTTGGTTGATACGTGTAAGTACTTTAGTCTATTATGGTTGTATCGTTCTTGATCATTATTATCTATGGGAAGCTAGTATTTAATATAGTGAAGTGCTAGCGCCACGCTAGCTAATACAGTGCCCTCTTTGATCACATGATCGATATCCCGACACTTAGAACTCGATTTTTCTTAATTTTCACTACAACCTTATACAATTCTCACATTATGAAGGAATATTAATATGACAGGCAGCACTCCGGGCTAAACGATCTGAGCATTTGCATGAAGATTATCAGGAACGTGATAAGTTACACTTTCACAATATAGTAATCGTAATTTGTACACAAAATAATATTCACTGTCTGCAGCAAATACTCATAACGATTCTCAAATTTAACACGAAATATTCCACAACATGGTCCTGGATCGCGATCTTTCTTGCTCATTTCTCCGTCGATTCATGGACAGCATTCGTCTGGCTCTAGGTAAGCATAGGGATTGTCTGCATTCCATTAGTACATCTACTTTGAGAAATGGATCATGCGGCTTACTCTCACGATGCCGGTTCACGGTTTGTAGTTGTTGAGTAGGTGGCGGTGGAGCTGGTGATGGTGCTTGTAGCAACCCATTATTGATACGCGATATAGGATGAAAAGTATCAGCATGAAGACCCAATATTTCCATCAAATATAGATACGATCGGTGAGTGAGTCGGTAGTCACTAGGTCTTGTTTGTCCCCAATTGTACGCATCAAATCTTGACAAGCTGAGCATAAATCTATGCCAAATACAGAAATTACTCGTAGTCTCGACATCTTGACCATTCTCAAGCAAGTAGCGTGGCCCGCATTGAGAGCGGCAAATACCACGATACGAACTTAACTAAGGAATATTCATTAGTGGTCCGAAGTGTTTTCTTGCTTGAAAGACTTACTGTGATGAAATGAATAGAAGGATCTGGGCCATATCGATTGTGAATGTTGAGAACAACCGCTGGGTGATCAAATGCATTGATATCCATTAAGTGTCGCATACCAGTGTGACGTTGACAAAGGGGTCGTAAATCTCCATTAGTGTCACTGAAAGGTGGGAGCCACAAAATACATCCCACGCCAATTTCGTGTATCTGTAAAGCAGGTCCATTTCTGGTGCTCATCTTGAATAGATCTATATAAAATTCTTGGGATATTGGAAAGACAAAAGAGTATGGGACAAGATATAAAATGCTCATCTGCCAGAGATATCGAGCGGAATGACTTTTCCTAGTGAGGAATACCAAATGAATATATAAACCCATCCAATTTCAATCGACTCTGTACGCCATCGCGAGAGGATAAAGAAATATGGAAGCAATGTCAGAGACAGCGACGGCCCAGGATTACGAGGTGCACCAAGGCTGAACAATAATTCTTTCCTCGTTGTCTACATGATGAAGTCCCAATGGCTTTCTTTCAGATGTTTCTAAATAAGACTTCATTCATTCAAGTCATAGACCCTATAGTTACTGTACTATAGAAACATTTCAACATCATCAAAGAAATCATCGCACAGGTAACTCTCCCGACGCACAGTCCATCGATATCAAGATCTCAAAACACATCCTCATTCACTCACTTGAATCAAACTTGGAACTCGTTGTCTCCGGTAGTCTCTCAATTCGTGCCTAATTTCACCTTCCTCACTACAGGCCCAATCCCAACTCCAATGGCCACGGCCAATCAACCAACCGCGACCGCGACCCTAGAATCTTCCAACTTTGGAATGTCGTAGCCTTGCATCGAGACCTTGAACGCTCTGCAGAATCACAAAGAAATATTGAGTCAAATTCAAGACATTACAATTGTTGTATATGTTTAAGGATGAAGGCGGTGATGCTGTTGATGTTTGTCAGGAAGTGACAAGTAAAATGTTGGTGTTGGGGAAAGGTTGCCTAGCACCTGGACACGTGTGGAGTCTCGGCCACCGGCCAACTGTGGCACAGTAACTTGCCTTTATTGGTCGGAGCTAGGCGAGGACGAAAGTACGACAGCAATGTTAGATTACGAATTTTGATGTTAATATTTGTATGATGTGTTATGGCAAGGATGTCTGAATAGGAAATCACAAATATCGCAAAATTAACCCAAGAGAAATTCAAAAAGTGCTAGAATCCCTCCATGACGTTTGGTTGAATTCTCTCCAACTTGCTGGACAACTGAGTCCACAGTTTCTCGCCAGCTGCAGCACCATCTTGACTTGTCACAAAACACGGCTCCCTGTAATTTGAGGTAAGAAACTGTTTCCTATCTGTCCGTATCATGGAAGGGTGATGAACCGACGATAAGAGTCCCCCATTTCCAATATATTCACCATTTCGAAGAAGACGAGAAAGTAGCGATGTATGCTATATTTTCAAGCGGGTGAGGCTCCTTTATTTAAACCCCAAAGAACCAACAACTTAGAGTATTTTGCTACACCATCTCCCTTTCCAAGCAAAGAAGAGGAGACCTTGACAATTTCTTAACATCTCGGAATTCGACTTGAATTCATAAACCCGTTTGGCACAGCATTGACATCGCCAAGAGTAAGAATTGGTACTCCAAAATGGAGATAGTTAAATATATGAACTCGTAAACTCTATTTTCGACTGCATAATATCGCAAGATGGGAGTGAAGCACGCCGGAAGTTTTATCAATCATGTCCTCAACGATGGGGGTATGCGAACATCGGATTTGGAGATCAAAAATTGAACTTACATCCGACGCGGTCTAACGGCCGCTCACGGACGCAATGACCGCATGGCATAACTCCGTCAGAAATCTAACTCCGTCATCAAGCAAACTTCTAGCTCATTAATCCGTATGCTAAAATTCTCTTTCGGAATTACTGCTACTCTGTGGGCACTGAAATGTGAGTTTTTGGTCGAATTGTAGGTCTCCTCACTTGGACATTGGTAAGCATTTCGGACTCTATTCAATTAGTACAGTCCATCAATGCAAAAATTTGGCAGTGACATCGATGATGTCAAGCAAATGCTGTGGATGGAGAACTGAATACCCTTCGCCGATGGATTAGGGGCCAGAATATTGTGGATTGGGAAGAAACTGTGATAGAGTTCAAGAGCGATGAAACTATGTATATAAAGACTGCATTTCTCGATCACCAGAATGCTTCTACTCATCAACACATCATCAACATCAACATTACAATCAACCCACCAACACATCTTTCGATAGTTCTATATCTCGATTCAATACAAACAGCAAAATGGCCAGTCAAAAGCAATTCAACCAAGAGACAAATGGCGCTGAAGTCGTCACTTCATTTCCAAAGTCTGTCGCTGACAAGACATGTGAGTTCATCCTATTCTCCATTACACATGAACTTACTTTAACATTCTTAGTTGTTATTACCGGCCCAACACCAGGCGGACTGGGATCTCAAACAGCTTTGCTACTTGCTGCATCTAAGCCAGCAACTATTCTCCTCCTCGGACGCGACGAATCCAAAGCCGCACCCGCCGTAGAATCAGTGAAAGCGGCTTCTCCAAGCACAACTGTTAAATTTGTTCATTGTGATCTCGGAAAGTATTCATCTATCAAAACTGCGGCTGAATCTATTCTGGCTACCACTCCCAAGATCCACACTCTCATCAATAATGCGGGTGTCATGGCGCCAGCCGAATACAACACTACCGCCGAAGGTCTGGAGGTTCAATTTGGTGCAAACCACGTGGGGCATTTCCTTCTAACAAACCTACTCATGCCAGCTATTGTTGCTGCTGCATCTGAAGGAGCACGAATTGTCAATCTTTCCAGTATGGGATGGTCATTGGGCGAAGTTAGATTCGATGACTATAATTTCAATGATGGGAAAGACTATGACAAATGGTCAGGGTATGGCCAAAGTAAATCAGCAAATATTCTATTTACCGTTGAGTTGGCAAAGAGATTGAAAAGCAAGGGAGTACACGCATTTGCTGTTCACCCTGGCGTGATCATCACGAATTTGGTAAGAGAGATGGATCCGGAGAAAGATTATGGCTCTTTGATCGAACGTTTCAATTCTAGAGGTAATTCAGACTTCGAATTCCATCATTCAAGATATTCCAAGTTTTACTGACAAGATAATGAAGGACACATAAAGATGGATGGCTCATTGCCTTGGAAGAGCTTAGAAGCTGGCACATCAACAACATTAGTTGCGGCTCTTGATCCAGCTTTGAAAGGTAAATACATTCTTACTTCCCAAATAACCATACTTTCCCAATGCTAACACTTGGAAATCATACAGATCACTCGGGTGCCTACCTTGCCGATTGTCAAATTGCTGAAACAGCAGATTATACCACCAATCCAGACTATGCAGAGCGATTGTGGGCGCTGAGTGAGAAGCTTGTAGGACAAAAATTCGATTTGTAAGGAGATTGTTCTACTAGAACTAAGACAGATATAGACTCACCGCTCTTGAGGAATAGTGTAAATTTAGCAATTGATAGATTTTGGCACCCACCTTGGATATGATTATACCGAACTGAATTTCTATTTCAGAGAAGACGGACTGCCGAGAGAAGTGATACACTCTATCTAAAGATGCGTACCATCTTCAAGAAATATATGATACATGTTTCCCCAAAAATCGAACCCACATCACCAATGTAATTGTTCCAATCTTCGATAAACTTCTCACATTTTCTCAAGTACGAGGTACCATAAATTCCATCCCTTGCAAATCGAGCGAGTCGACGGATCCAAAGACCTCTTCCGTATGTATCATCCATATACGTCGGGTCCGCCTCCTGCATCATCCGATCAAAATACTCTTTAAACAATTGTGACATCCTCATTGAGGGGCAGATCTAAAGGCGCGTCATAGTCTCCGTCCCATGGATATGTGAAGTTATTACCGTATTCGAAACGCTCCTCGTAGAACCAGAGCCAGGACCTGGGAGCTCTAGTCAGAACTAACGGCATGGACTTTACATCATCCCAATCAATGACTCCACTAACGTCCCACTTTCCAGATTCGGACATTCCGACGAAAATGTGACGAGGCTCGAGATCCCAGTGCCATAAAACGTTGATTGAGTCAGATGATTTGAAAAAGTGTCTTGCCGCCATCTCCTCCAAAACAGCTAGCAACATATCCCACACTGTATCATCTTCAGTTCTGTTACTCTGGTGGTATTTTATCATATTGGAGAGTAATGACGGTAAATTCTGCTTCTCAAGAGGAGGTGCGGTCTCCATGCAACTCGCAGAGAAGCCAGCGAATTCTATTCGTGGTGTGGAAGAAGCAATGGAAGATGAAGTCCACGGTACAGCATGGGTGCCAACCAGTCTTCCCGGCTTATCCAGAATGGTTCTCTCTAATTTGATTATGCACTCAGCAATAGTCTTCACAACTTCAAGTCTCGCAGACATGGAAAGCTGCGCGGGAGTCTCAAAGAACAAGTTGTCCAGGGGTATTCCTCGAATCCTCTCTTGTAACACGAATGGTGATTTAAGAGAATTCGCAGCGGTTGTATCGATAACCAAAACCTTGGGTACATGGAGGAATGCGAATTGCTGAAGCCACATAGTTATTTCGGCCTGATTTTGGATATCAGTTTGCTTCGACCATTTGGCATCCCATTCTCGCGGGATCCGCAGGATACGTCGCTGGATTCCAGAGCCTTTTCGAAATGACTAGCCAATTACCTGATTGAAACTTCCTCCATCCATACGCTCTATAGTTGATGGTTCGCCAAGGCCTATATCAATACACAACTGATTGACTTTACAGCGGTAGGTATCAAAAGATTCTTGCTCGTACACGTAAGTAGATGATTTGGTTGGGAATCGTGTTCTCATAGAAGAGTTGTTAGAAATGATGTCTTCATTAATGAAGTCATCATCTGGGAGATCAAGATTCTCGGTGCCAACATTTCCAATACGATTGGCATGGCTCTCATCTAGCTTGGAATGCGTATTGTCTTTGTACCGTTCCACAAGTGCATCAAGATAGGGATCGCAAAAAGATTTACGAAGTTGCACACTATCAAATGTGATGCCCGAGGCCAGGCTAGAAGTATCAGAGTCCATACGGGATGACGATCAGAATGGGATATCAAGGGTAAACCTGGGTTGAAAGGTTTCGGCTTATATGCTGGATGCGGCTCTGAGATTTGAAATGAATTGTTTTTTTGGGGATGCGGGCAATAAGCTGCAGACGTCAGGCGTGGTAATAAACTAGAATCTCCTAAAGAAAATTGCCAATCACGCAATCGATTTTGGAAGACGTGAATGGAGTAAGAATGATGAAAATATAAATAGTAATAGATCCTATGTCTCATTCGCCGTACAATAAAGCCCAATAACAAAAGAAATGGATACTATAGTGAATACCATCTGATGAATAATTGATAGTGAAGTGAACATCCCCCAATCGAATTGTTACTCCCAGTCATGCTCAACCATCCAAACATCCTCTAATTGCAATCCAGATTCTTTAAGATCGCAACCTATGTGCCCCCATTTTTCTGAATATATCTCATCTCCACTTCGGATTAATATCTCAAGTGCTTGTTCGAAACCCCGAGGATCGCGATGAAATGGCTCTCCTTGACCTCCTAACTGCCTTCGTTGCCAATGATTTCTAGCGCTTGGATCATTGTTTTTCCATTCTGCTTCGGCTTGAACCAACTTTATCAGTTGTCGGAAGCCTTCCCCTCCGATCATATCTTCTGCCAAATTATTCAAGTCAGTTGCCGTTTTGGGGGGCATATCTGGGTTGTATTTTCGACGAAAGAGCAAGTTTAGATCAATTGTTCTTCCCACATCCATAACCCAGCCCGCCTCGGCCGTATCTAGCTTAATAGCTGCCATCTGAAGCCTCTGATACATGTCGCAATCAGAAGAGTAATAGCTGATCATTGGATCCCATCCTCCCATTTTCACAAAGCTTTGTACGTTATTTAGCGCAAGCCAATCATACTCGAAGAAGCGAATTCCCCATCCATCGTATCCTTCCGCGTAATCAGGATCCGAGGTCCTCCGAAGTTCATCGACAGCTCGCATGTATAGAGACTTGTGAGATGTCGCAGGATTTCGTTGTTGATTCAGTGGTGCATGGGTTAAGTCTTCGTCGGACAATACGATAACATCCATATGACTCCAGAAATAATTCTCCCAGTCATTTTCGAGTGCCGTGTAAATATAGAAATTCTGAAGTTGGGAAAAGGTGAGAAGGGTTGGCGTCGAAATTACGTTTACCCCAAAGATATTTCTGAGCCGATCGACATTCAGATACGAAGGGTTCTGAAGTGTGATCTTCGGTTTAGAAGCAAAGTTGGATCTCATTGTGCCAGTATTATCCACAACATATATGTCCTCTGCGGGCCACCCTGCAGTAATATATGATAGAACGCACTGTTGTAGTAAAGGCCAGTTTCGAGTGAAACCTATGAAGAGAGGAGTCTTTTCCGCAACATGCTCTTTGGGAGGTCTGTTCCACGATGGTATGTCAGGAAGAATTTTGTACTGAAAGGTATCGACGACTTGGCGTGAAGCATGAGAGCTTTCGACATTCAAAAGTTGTTTGTGAATCGGTCCTGGTGGTCGAGCTCTCACGGCCGGAGGTGGGTTGAATGGTCCTGGTGCCTCGAAGTCGCCCCTCTGAGCAACTTCAACTCGTTGCGTTGTCAAATCTGGTGTCTTTGTCCATAAATAAATTATCAGCAAGATATACAGCAAGAACAGGACAGAAGCGCCCTTGTACCTCGCCATTTTCAAGTGTTTTCGAGGAAATTAGAGAACATGATGCTTTGAAAGAGTATGCAGCTTTTGAGATATACCCATCAATTTTGTTTTAAACTACAAGTCCAGCAGATTCGCATATGCTTACGACGATACTGTGGACAGGTATCAAAATAATCAAGCTTATAATGCGGGTACTGTATCTGAAAGTCTCGCCCCTCATTCTTCCCTTTGATCAAATATCTCCTGAATTCTGCATTGAGACTTCTTATTGTCCAAATTATCTCAGACTGCGAGGGCTGCAATGCAGATTGGCCCCGAAAGTTCTTTTCAGACTTTAACACGCCTCCAATTGTACCCGATGAAGTATACCAGCGACAGCTGTTGCTATTGGGAAGATCGCTGTCCTGTAATCTATCTGTGGAGACTATGCCAAGTCGGGATCACTACTGTGGGCCGGTCCGTGTTAGCTCTCCACCTGGTGACGAAGTGTTTTTGTTTTGATCCGGCGAGGAAGTGAGAACGGTTTCATATCTCGCTGATTGAGATTGTTGAAGCAAACATTTCCAAAACACAAAAGTTCGTGAAACGGAAGCAATCGTCCACTTTCACGTGACCATTTTCAAAATCATATTGGGTTATCACCTGTAGGGCTGAGATTGTATCGGAAACATGGCTCGGACCAAACAGTAGAGAGCACAAAATATATGATTCCATGATCGCATCTTTTTCGACAGATCAACTCGCGTCTAGATGGGGCTGTCACGTGGTGGAATGGGGAAGCTTATACCCAAAATCTCAGCTCCGAAGTCTTATAGATACCGGACATAGAAACGGAGAGGTGTGCCAAGATACATGATATGGGATCATTGAGGGTTCCGGGAAAATCCCTTAATCGAAGTTGGACGCGAACCCCTTCATCGAGACGAGCACGTTCATCACAACCGATATTCGGAATACAATACTGCATAGCCTACAGCCATCGCATGCTCCATCAGTTCCTACTCACGAGATAAGAAGTAGACTCGGGTTACAAATTGAGGCTCAATGATGTAACCGGACATTGGAATCTTCTTCTGCTCAGCTTAGGTAGCCCTGGAGTGTTCAAGATGTTGAGCCTCAAAACGAGGCGTAGTTTTGAGATCACATGATTTTTCTTCCATTCAACCAATCATTTTCGTTCTCCCGAAGGATTGTGGCTCGTCCAATAAATCACAGCCCCGCTGCTTACTTCCACAACTTCGAAAGCTTGGCTTGCACCTGTGATTTACGAAATCTGCCTTGCGCCGAATTTTGGCTCCATGCGACTTGCCGTGCTTTGCATTCTTTTTGACATCTGCCTCTTCGTTTCGATGAACCAACCAATGTAAGTTTGCGAAAATCTGAGTGTTGAGTAATGCTTGGTTATCGCAATGACTCTACGCCTTAATTTCCCCTCATTTTGTACACATTTACCCCTAAGAAATGGAATCACGTAGACGTACTAGTCACAATGCACACCATAATCTGTCCTCTAGGTTCTAGGCAATCATCGCTACCGATTGTTTCCAGCACTATTGCTTCATTACTATTGGATAGGATATGAGTCAGTTGAAAGTCATCGGCGAGCCAGTGGTGGATACCCACAATTGCATCCCCTGGTTTATTCAAAATGCGGATGTTATCATATGTGGCTGAGGCTTGGACTCACATTTCCCTTGATGATTGATGTGGTGAAAGGCCTCCGAGTTTTAGATTGTGCGATCCAATTCGACTTTAAAACCAAGATAGGTTCCATCCATTGATCAATTCCTTTCTTCTTATTTCTCCAAATATTTCAGATTATACAAAGGTTTTGTTTCATTCGACACAGGCCACAGTAGGGCTGCATATTAGTTCGTCTATCCAGTCACTGAATTAGTCTCATTATTATCTACTACTACTATCACTCATCAACCACTTCCACAACCGCAACTATGTCTCCAACCGGAGTTGCCTTCCAAACACAAGTCGACACTCTCTTGAATGAGTTGTCAGACTGTATTGGATTTTGCCATCAGATCCGAGAAACTCGACGACTAGGTACTAAGCACGAGAATTTCGACAAGCTTCAAGACACCCTCCTCCACTCACACACCACCCTCTCAGTTCAATATGATACTTTAAATCGGTGTTTCGGGCACAGGATGGCTGTCGGCGATGAAGCATCCATTCAACCAATGAACACATGTCTCCGGGCAGTATCATCTGACATCAAAAGAAAACTATACGAGATCGCCAACAAGACCACACAAACCTCCGGTTCTAGACAACTTCCCGGCTTCGGTACACTTCTTAAACACTGGAAACTCATTGAAGAAGATGCTTCCAACATCATAATCAGACTTTCACAACGTCTAATCATTACTCCACCTGCTTCAACTCAAATTCCAACTCCCGCCACATCACCGAAACAAGAACCAAAAGTCAGATCAGATCAACAAATTGTTTCTAAAAGTGATTTCAACTTTCTGGTAGAACACATGCAGAAATCCTGGACGGAGACATGGAGCAACGAACGATTGATTTATGTCAACTATTATGATCAGAAAAACAAAGTTTACGAAAAGCCCGAGGGCTTCATTAAAGCGGTACCCACATCGTACAGACCTGCGAGGACGGAAACTGTACCGGGCTCAAGAACGAGGAACGAGGACTTGAGTAAAAGAGAAAGAGGAGGTTATGCATTTGGGGGGTCGAATAGGCCTCAAAGGGAAGAGTTTTGGAGACAATGAGATGCGTATTGTACAAGGAAAAGGGTGCAGTTTTCAGGAGTTGATGAGATAAGATTTTTTGACACGGAATGAAGATATTGGTATGGTCACGATCAAGGCGGGATGTTATTCGGAGTTTGATGCGGTATGAGTGAGGAGTTTTGGTATCTCAGGATTATAGGACTAAGTCGCTAGCGTGCGCAGGGAATCTTGGATGATGGATATTCTTAGGGTTCAACGTTTATTACAGTATATGTTTTGCGACAATCGCCTTTTTTTTTCTCTGAGAACAATGAAAACTAAACTATTATTCTTATCTCATATTTCCCACATGATTTCTGTACGTGAATATGTTTCAGGTGCCTGAGTTTACTGAGACTTCAAACGCACCTCACGTAATGTACCCCGCGATACCCTAGAAATATTCAGGCACCACTAGGTACTTTCTACATGGTCTTCTTTCTAGCCCAGGTATCTTTTGAGTAATGACATTTGTTCAAAATAATAATATTGCATCACTCAACTTTTTGCGGATGAGGATAATATGTACCCTACCATATCAAACTTCTTGACTTATAGCGATGACAAAACCAGGCTTTTGAATCCACAATGACTTCCTGGGTCGACTTGCAGGATTTTGTTCGACTATTTGGTGGGTTGATAGAGATAGTAACCGATTTCCCTACTACGTGCACGTCCCTGCTATATGCACGATCTCGATCACCCATTTTGAATAACTTTAAAAATTAATAACAATTCCAATTTATAAGATAAAGAGCTAGCAATTTAATTGATAAATGACAAGATATAATACTATCTAAAAACATAATAAAATCTTCAGATTTTGAATTTCGATGGAACTCGTAATGCTCGCCCTCTACTAGATCGCAATATGACCTCCTCCTCCTTCCCTTTCGAATTATTAGTCTTTACAGTATCAAAGAGCTCTATAGTCTTTATCGATATTAAATCTATAATAGAAAAAGCTTTGGGAAACTTTTTATCTCTTTTGATTAAAGATTTTGTTGATTTTAGAATCTTTTTAATCTCCTTTTTCGCATTATATATAATCTAATAATCAACCTTCCTCTGCAATACCCTCTCTTTCGTTTCAATCTCCTTCTATTCCTTTTCAACTTTCTTTTTAACTTTTATCTAAAGTTTAGCTTTCTTTTCTTATTTCTCTTTAAATACTTTATCTTTTTGATATACTTTAGTTTTAATAATAATAAAAGATGATTATAAAAACACATCGGGATACGATGACTCTCACCTGTACGTGGTATATCCTACGAACCTTCGATCATGCGATCGGAGAGCTAAGTAGAGTCAGCTGGAGCCGGGTGGTGGTTGTACACTAATCAGAGGCTGTATTGGAAGCAAAGGTATATACAATTGATCATCAGAAGGTGATCGCGAAAATATTTGGAATAAAGGATTACCAGCAAAACGGAGATGAAAACTATTCGATGGTGGAAGGGAAATGAGAGTGGGATTGATACGGAACCATGCCTTTATAAATCTATATGGGGAGCAGAGCTAGAGTATATCGTGGTAGAGCATCTGCAAAGCAAAACTAACCCTTAAAACAACGAATAATGAAGCTTTTATAATATAGCTAAGTCTAATTAAAGCCTATATTGGGAGCAGAACCGATATCCTTAACTTGACGAACGAAAATCGACAAAACATCTCTGGGGTGCTAGTGTATAGAGTTTTCATAATCCAATAATATATACAATCTGCAGATATATTGAATCGGATATTTACAAATAATAAAAGAAATAGTAGGAAGTATATAAAGGTTAGGATAATATCTACTAAAGCCAGCAGGAGTATATATAGAATAGGAGGAGGGACGTTTTTAGTACCTTATCTTCAAATACATGGGAGCGGTATAGCAGTAGAGGAGCTTTGGTATAGAAAGAATGCTTTTAGTAAACCATACTTGATAATACTCGATCGATATTATAATAGTAAAGGATTTCAGGCAGAGGTTATGTCACGGCGCCAACTACATGATCTGTAGTTGCCTTCGTGCCTCAGGCACAGCATACTAGCGCGCCCTACTTCCTATTAAGTAGGGCTTCACTCTTTCATAGCTCTTCTATCCTTATGGTATAATATAAGTCTTTATCGTACCTTGACAATTTATACCATTTTCAAATAAACTATCATAGCTTTATTTCTTATTTATTTTCAAAAGCTTTACCGATACCTTATCCCAATCGTGCCGATCACATTCACCATGATTTATTGTATACCCTATCGTTAATATTTTGAGTCTTAAAAAGTGTTGAAGATGGGTGAATAAGTACCTATACCAAAAGTGCTTACATTTAGTTTACTTTTACAGTTCCTTTTCTTAAACCATTGTTTTCAACTCCGCCAAAGCCGATATCTCTCCCTTTATAAACCTATTCAATAATCCAAATACTATATACTTCGCTATCGCTTTAAGTTATATTTGAATCGATTGAATCGATTGTAGACTCATTACAAACCCAAGCTGTTACTACTCAAGCCCAAGCCATTAATATTTAATCAAAGATTATCGAATTGAAAGATACAATTGAAATATTAAAGATTACTGTTCATAATAATTCGCAAGCTTCATCTCATCACAAATATTTCGCCACCCCTAAAAAGTTCAATGATGATGAGTAAGATATCACAAAGCATTAAGATTAGTATACAACTTTTCATAATACAATCAATCACTACTTGATCGTGAATTACAAAAATGAATCAGAATTTCAGAAAATCATATTTCTTGCTAACCTACTTTCTGGTTCTGTTTATACAAACAATCAGATACACTTTAATACAATCACAGATAACGTGTATAATTCCGACCTTTAGCCCTCTAGATGGTGTATTATAGTAGGTATCTAGTATAAATTAAATAAGCAATATCAGACTCTAAATCTCTCACGCAAAGCTTCCATAAATTACAATAAATATAAAATAAAGAAGAACCCTATTTAATAACTTTATTACCGAATTTAAGCAATTCGCTATTAAATATAAGAAGACTGCTGAACAACAAATCGCTAATCTTAAACTTAAAGTCTTATAAGAATTAATCGATACTTCAATTAACTGCTTTAATAAACCTTTTGTTGCTGATATTGATGTATGGATAGTCTGGTGGCAAGGCATCTATAATAACTTAAAGGAAAAGATTCATCTTGACAATCAACACAAGAACCAAGGCACCAACTTCAGTGATCAAAAAAAACCCAATAAAAAGAAGCCTACTATCGTTACTGTAATATCTACGCTTGATCTTTCTGGAGATCCTATATAACTGAATACTGCTTGCCAAGGCCAGTAACCCTTATTATGTTACAATAAAGAACAATATCTAGATCTTGGCCTTTATCTTTATTACAAAAAGCCCGGTTATATCAAATTCAACTGCAAAGAAAAGCAATGCAACGATGTAAAATATAATACCAACTCAGGAACCATACAATATCCTGATCATCCCTTTGCTATGAACCAATATACTCCGAATGTCCATCGTTTTTCCATTACCGATTATCATTATAACCCCGGACTCTATCGCAACACTTATAATCTTACTTATCAGAATATATTCCCACCTACTAATTGTTTCCCAACTACCGCAGTATTATTTCGATATGCCTTTCCAGTTCTCACTAGTAACAGAGATCTGGGCGGATTTGTTGAAGGTTCTGTATATTCGAATAATAGTGGAAATTCAATTTCCTAGTTAAGCATATTAAAAGACTAACCTCAATTCATAGTTGCAAATCAAGATTCTTTATGGAAAGTTTGTTTTTGTGGATTAAAAGATCGATTATATTTAGGGATCCTTTATATCTTAGAATAATAAATAGCAAATCTCTTAAAATCTTAACGGAAATTTTCCTTACGCCTAACATGATTATCCTACTTATTGGCTTAGTAGATAATGGAGCCGCGGGATATGGGTTTATAAATAGAACCCTTATATTCAAGCTTGGTATCTCTATATATCCCCTCCCTACTATCCGCAACCTGTTATTTACAGACAAAAGGACTTCTGATATCCTATTTCAGTATACACTATTAGATCTATGGATTAATAATCATAAAGAAATTGGCTTATTCTATATTATCAATCTTTTCGATACAAACTCTATGATCCTTGGTTTTCTATAGCTTTAATGTTATAACCCTACCATTAATTGGGTAATAATGACTTTTAAGTTCACATTCATATATTGCTCCAGATATTGCTGCCCAATTAATTCTGCTGCAATTGTTATCTTCGATGTAACGATGTACCGATCTCAGTAGATACAGTGCTCAATCTAATATTATATATACCCATTAAAAAATCTATTTTGAAATCTACTTCAAAGAAATCTATCTCAACCCCATATCATACCTTTACTAAAGAAATCATTAATAAAAGTCTCCAGATTCCCTCCTTCTTATTCCAAAACCAATTAATACTTTTGGAATATGATTCTTTAACTCTAGTTGTGGAGAAGAATATTGATAGAAATCTCTATAATATAAATCCTGCTAATCCAATGCCACCCGACTCAAACCGTTACTACATTTATCAAATCAACGGAAAAATAGAGACCTACACCAAAATAATACCAAACCAGCCAATCCTGAAACCGGTTTCCAACGCAAATCATTGTAGGCTTTAGGATATATAAGAGACTGTTACGAAACTAAAACATTTTACCCCTATTAAACCCCCTATCACTATAAAAGCCCTCTGAGGAACCGACTGATGCCTTACAAAATATCCAACAGAAAATAAACAATATAAAGTTCCTCACAGTTAATAGCTTTATTCAATTCTATAAAGATTAGGAAGCTTATATTACAAAAGTAACTTGGGATAAATTAGATAAAACTTGCGAGTTACACTGTATAGTAACAAACGATCCTATTCAATTATGTCGCAGTATTATAAAAAGCGATATCAAGAAGTTCATGGAAAAAACTGATCGACCTGTACCATCTACAATAAAGATTCAGAGCAAGCTATC